GGCACCAATTTTGTAATATGTTTACTAGCAATTTCCAGTTTTCATGAAATTGAAGTTCCTTTGTAATGTAAGTTCCAATAGGAACATATATTATGGCATTGTTTTATATAACAAAGTTTTCATTTAAACTTCTGTCATGCGGAACAAATATATGTTGACGAAAATATTAAAAAAAATATGTAAAAACAGAGTCTTCAATAGTTTACTTGCAAAACATACCGGTAATGTTAATTTTGGGTGCCCGGTCTTAATTTCATACCTTGAAAAGAAATTAAAATCTTACAAATTTACTCGTACATGTACAAGCAAATAAACATGACTTATATAAGTATTACCCCTGACATTTGGTGGGTCTTTGACTTTGATAAAATTGAATTAAAATATCACCTTGTCAAGTTGCATGTTCTCCAGCTTTATTATCATTGAGAAATACCATGTATAGGAACGCTTTAAACCTATGAGTATGAATAATTTGTGCAGATTTATTGAGAAATACCATGTATAGGAACGCTTTAAACCTATGGGTATGAATAATTTGTGCAGATTTATTGAGAAAAAACTCTTTTAAAAATCACTGTTTGCCCATTATGCTGCCTGTCAAATATAAATTTTACTTTTAACTTTGTGTATTGTTGAACTGTAATGTCTAATATAACTCTACAATTGTTGATGAACCTTCAAATAATAATCCTTTAAAACTTGCTAAGAAATATTCCATTCAGGCATAGGTATTTCACAAGACGACATAATAGGCAAGTCATTGTATTGTGCTAATGGTTAAAACCACTCATTTTATGTTATTTTGAGTGATTGATTTTTGTTGTTAATCCCACTCTATTTTGTGGAGGCCAGTTTTTATACGACCGCAAAAAAATTTTGTGGTGGTATATTGGTATGACGTTGTCGTCGTCGTCGTCGTCCGGCGTCGTCGTCGTCGTCCAGCGTCGTCGTCCGAATACATATTGGTTTTCGCACTCTAACTTTAGTTTAAGTGAATGGATCTTTTTGAAATTTGACCATAAGGTTAAATACCACAAAAGGAAGGTTGGGATTGATTTTGGGGGTTATGGTACCAACAGTTAAGGAATTAGGGGCCAAAAAGGGGCCAAAAATGAGCATTTTCTAGTTTCCAGACAGTAACTGTGGAACGGTGTATGGATCTCTCTGAAATTATACTACAAGTTTCCATACCACAAAGGGATGGTTAGGATTTGCTTTGGGGGGTTATGGCTCAAACCGTTTAGGAATTAGGGGCAAAAAAGGGGGAAAAACAAGGTTGTCCTGGTTAATGGACAAATACTTTAGTACAAAACATAATTTATAGCAGTGTAAGGGAGATAAATCAAATACATCATTGAAATTATCTCCCTTACACTGCTTTTAAATTATGTATAAAGTAATGGTTAATGAACAATAAAGATAATCTAAAACAGTGTAAGGGAGGTAATCCAAATACAACGTTTTGGTTACTTCCCTTACACTGCTTTTAAATTATGTTTAAAGAAATGCATATTTATAAAGGAAGACCAGTAAAAATATCTGCAAATGTTTTCATCTTTTTTTTTTACAAAAAAATCCATATGAAAGATTTGACACTATATTTTTATTAATTCTATTATAAAATAGATTAAGTTAGCACTATGGTAAATTTAAATGGGTAATTATGGTTGCCAACTCCATTGGAAATTTGAATTGAGATTATGACCATATCTTGAGGGAAAGAATTTTTTTGGGGGAAAAAGGGGGGGGGGGATAAAAAGAAATTGTGGGGGGCCAATTTTTTCTCATTTCAGATTTCAGAAATTAAAAAGAATTATTCTTCAAATATTATTTTTTTTCAAATTTCAAATATTGAAAAATTTCAAGAAGTAATCTTTAATTGCACAGTATGGCGCATTAGATTTGTAAAATCTTTGATCACATTTATTTATTTGTTATGCCGAATCTAACAGTGTATTTAGATTTTTAATTTTGGGTCCAGTTTTCAAATTGGTCTACATTAATGTCCAAAGGGTCCAAAATTAAACTTTGTTTGATTTTAGCAAAAATTGAATATATGAGGTTCTTTGATATGCTGAATCTAAACATGTATTTAGATTTTTGATTTTTGGCCCAGTTTTCAAGTTGGTCCAAATTGGGGTCCAAAATTAAACTTTGTTTGATTTCAACAAAAATTGAATATATGAGGTTCTTTGATATGCTGAATCTAACCATGTATTTAGATTTTTTATTTGTGGACCCCGTTATCTAATTGGTTCATATTGAGGTCAAAAGGGTCCAAAATTAAACTTTGTTTGATTTCATCTAAAATTGAATTATTGGGGTTCTTTGATATTCCAAATCTAACCGTGTATTTAGGTTTTTAATTTTGGGTCCTGTTTTTTAAATTGGTCTACATTGAGGTCCAAAGGGTCCAAAATTAAACTTAGTTTGATTTTGACAAAAATTGAATTCTTGGGGTTCTTTGATTTGCTGAATCTAAACATGTGTTTAGATTTTTGATTATGGGCCCAGTTTTCAAGTTGGTCCAAGATAGGGTCCAGTATTTAAACTTTGTTTGATTTCAACAAAAATTGAATATGTGGGGTTCTTTGATATGCTGAATCTAACCATGTATTTAGATTTTTTATTTGTGGACCCCGTTATCTAATTGGTTCATATTGAGGTCAAAAGGGTCCAAAATTAAACTTTGTTTGATTTCATCTAAAATTGAATTATTGGGGTTCTTTGATATTCCAAATCTAACCGTGTATTTAGGTTTTTAATTTTGGGTCCTGTTTTTTAAATTGGTCTACATTGAGGTCCAAAGGGTCCAAAATTAAACTTAGTTTGATTTTGACAAAAATTGAATTCTTGGGGTTCTTTGATTTGCTGAATCTAAACATGTGTTTAGATTTTTGATTATGGGCCCAGTTTTCAAGTTGGTCCAAGATAGGGTCCAGTATTTAAACTTTGTTTGATTTCAACAAAAATTGAATATATGGGGTTCTTTGATATGCTGAATCTAAACATGTATTTAGATTTTTGATTATGGGCCCAGTTTTCAAGTTAGTCCAAATTGGGGTCCAAAATTAAACTTTGTTTGATTTCAACAAAAATTGAATTATTGAGGTTCTTTGATATGCTGAATCTAACCATGTATTTAGATTTTTTATTTGTAGGCCCCGCTATCAAATTGGTTCATATTGAGGTCAAAAGGGTCCAAAATTAAACTTTGTTTGATTTCATCGAAAATTGAATTATTGGGGTTCTTTGATATGCTAAATCTAACCGTGTTTTTAGATTTTTAATTTGGGTCCCGTTTTTTAAATTGGTCTTCATTGAGGTCCAAAGGGTCCAAAATTAAACTTAGTTTGATTTTAACAAAAATTGAATTCTTGGGGTTCTTTGATATGCTGAATCTAAACATGTGTTTAGATTTTTGATTATGGGCCCAGTTTTCAAGTTGGTCCAAGTTGGGGTCCAAAATTAAACTTTTTTTGATTTCAACAAAAATTGAATATATGGGGTTCTTTGATATGCTGAATCTAACCATAAATTTAGATTTTTTATTTGTGGGCCCCGCTATCAAATTGGTTCATATTGAGGTCAAAAGGGTCCAAAATTAAACTTTGTTTGATTTCATCAAAAATTGAATTATTGGGGTTCTTTGATATTCCAAATCTAACCGTGTATTTAGATTTTTAATTTTAAGTCCCGTTTTTTAAATTGGTCTACATTAAGGTCCAAAGGGTCCAAAATTAAACTTAGTTTGATTTTAGCAAAAATTGAATTCTTGGGGTTCTTTGATATGCTGAATCTAAACATGTGTTTAGATTTTTGATTATGGGCCCAGTTTTCAAGTTTGTCCAAGTTGGGGTCCAAAATTAAACTTTGTTTGATTTTAACAAAAATTGAATATATGGGGTTCTTTGATATGCTGAATCTAACCATGTATTTTGATTTTGGACATTGGACCATAATAGGTAAATTAAAAAAATTCAAGTTCTTAGACCACATTCTTTCTGTGTCAGAAACCTATGCTGTGTCAAATATTTAATAACAATCCAAATTCAGAGCTGTATCAAGCTTGAATGTTGTGTCCATACTTGCCCCAACTGTTCAGGGTTCGACCTCTGCGGTCGTATCAAGCTGCGCCCCAGCGAAGCATTTTATTAATGATGGAGGAAGCCAGAGTGCCTGTAGAGAACCATCAACCTTCTGCTAGCAAAATGGCAAATCCTAGTCAATATAGATTGGTGTCGAACATAACCTGCCACATGCAGGTTCGAACTCACAACATCAGTGTTAACAGGCTAGTGATACAGTTAATAGAATTGAGAATGGAAATGGGGAATGTGTCAAAGATACAACAACCTGACCAAAAAGCAGATAACAGCCCAAGGCTACCAATGGGTCTTCAACACAGCGAGGAAATCCTGCAGTGGAGGCAGGCTTCAGCTGGCCCCTAAACAATAATGTATACTAGTTCAGCGAAATGGACTCCACACTAAACTAAACATATAAATGAACCAAAATTTAAAAAAATACAAGACTAACAAAGGCCGGAGGTTCCTTACTTGGGACAGGCGCAAAAATGGGGCAGGGTTAAACATGTTTTGTGAGATCTCAACCCTCCCCATATAAACAACTCAGACCACTAGGCCACTGAGGCTCCCTCATTTTATGAAAATGTGTATATTGTTGAGTACTGAAATACATGTTTATATACTGATGCCTCACCTTTCAAGTATATAATGCTTAAAAAGACTGACTAAATGAATCAGTTGACTGACCCTACTTTTAATAAAATACAAACATATGTAAACATACATATGATATATTTATTTTGGCCTTGTAATTTATTAAAATTGAAATTTTGGTGAAACTGAAAGAGTTATTTGTGTTGCATATTATTTGATGAAAGAACCATCTGTAATTTCAGATTTTATAAACCTAACATCTTATAAATAATTTATTTGACATACATATCTGATTTGTACTCTTATTGTACATGACAGGAGCAGTTATTAAAGCATGGGATCAAGGTGTTGCCACAATGAAAAAAGGGGAGATTGCCCGCTTTACCTGTCAACCAGAATATGCCTATGGAGAGACTGGTTCCCTTCCTAAAATACCAGCAAATGCTACATTAGTATTTGAAGTTGAGCTGTTTGATTGGAAAGGTAAATTTTAGTTGAAATATGTGCTTTTGCTTCATGGAATATATACATGTAAGGTGACAGTATAGTATGCTATATTTTTAACCGGATTTCCAAAGGAAAATATCAGTTATTAATTTGGTGATGTACGGCTGTCGGGTCAAATTAAGATACATGTATAAATGTTGTTTCCTGTGACTAAATGAAGGTCAAGTTTTATTTTCACGATTTTAGCTGTTGTCGTCGAGTTGTAGACCTTTAAGTAGCCAGAAGTGATACTTAGATTGATTTTAGCCTTTCCATTTCTGAACCCTACATAAATTCATTTATTTTATTAATTTGATCCTGTTTGGGGGTCCAGATTAGCAAATATCATTTTCTTTCAGGAAAATCTGGTTTGCTGTCAATGTGACAGCCTCTTGTTTCGGTATAACTTGCGTCTTGCTAGAAGCCCTTAGTACTACAATGAAAGTCATGATCTTTCAGATTAAAGAATAATTGTAATAGAAAAAAATCTGATTAACTTACATATTCAATTACAACTAAATTTTTCCCTAGGTTGTATTCATATGTATACTCATTTGCATATTTTAAAACGTAGTGATGACAAGGAATATGTACAAATTTACATTTTAGGTGAAGATGTATCAGAGGACAAAGATGGTTCTATCATCAGGAGTGTAATAAAGAAAGGAGAAAAATACAGTAATCCTAATGATGGGGCAACAGTCAAAGGTGAGAAAGATACAGTAATTCTTATGTCGGGGCAACTGTCAAAGGTGAGAAAGATACAGTAATCCTAATGACAAGGCAACTGTCAATGGTGAGAAAAATACAGTAATCCTAATGATGGGGTAACTGTCAAAGGTGAGAAAGATACAGTAATTCTTATGTCTGGGCAACTGTCAAAGGTGAGAAAGATACAGTAATTCTTATGTCTGGGCAACTGTCAAAGGTGAGAAAGATACAGTATTCTAATGTCAGGGCAACTGTCAAAGGTGAGAAAGATACAATACGGGGCAACTGTCAAAGGTGAGAAAGATGCAGTAATTCTTATGTCGGGGCAACTGTCAAAGGTGAGAAAGATGCAGTAATCATAATGACGAGGCAACTGTCAATGGTGAAAAAAATACAGTAATCCTAATGATGGGGCAACAGTCAAAGGTGAGAAAGATACAGTAATTCTTATTATGGGGCAACTGTCAAAGGTGAGAAAGATACAGTAATCCTAATGACGAGGCAACTGTCAATGGTGAGAAAAATACAGTAATCCTAATGATGGGGCAACTGTCAAAGGTGAGAAAGATACAGTAATTCTTATGTCTGGGCAACTGTCAAAGGTGAGAAAGATACAGTAATTCTTATGTCTGGGCAACTGTCAAAGGTGAGAAAGATACAGTATTCTAATGTCAGGGCAACTGTCAAAGGTGAGAAAGATACAATAATTCTTATGTCGGGGCAACTGTCAAAGGTGAGAAAGATGCAGTAATTCTTATGTCGGGGCAACTGTCAAAGGTGAGAAAGATGCAGTAATCATAATGACGAGGCAACTGTCAATGGTGAAAAAAATACAGTAATCCTAATGATGGGGCAACTGTCAAAGGTGAGAAAAATACAGTAATCCTTATGATGGGGCAACTGTCAAAGGTGAGAGAGATGCCAAAACCTAATGATGGGAAAAAGATAAGAAAAATACATTACTAATGATGGGGCAACCACCAAAGGTGAGAAAAATTAAGTTCTTCTTATGAAGAGGCAACTGTCAGAGGTGGAAATAATACAGTGGCCCAATGAAGAGAAAGATGTAAGAGGGAGGAAAAATACAAAAGCTCAATGGAAGGGAAACTAGCAGAGGTTGGTTAGAAAAATACAGCAATTCTGATTATGAAGAAGCAATTTCGAAGGTCAGAAATATACAGTAATCCAAACAAAAAACTCAAAAATGAGGCTTTAAAAAGTGAAAGAAGCATATTTGATTAACTTTGTTGAGAAAAAAATTTAACCTGTCAGGTGTTTTTTATTTGCTTATTAAAATAACAAATTTTCCAAATATTAAAAATTGTTTGACAAAAAATCAAAAAAAAACAATAAATTTCAATTTTGGAGAATTCCACCCTTTGACTGCTAATGGTATATTGGGAACAGTGTGCAACAAAAGTCATCCATGTTAGCAGCATATTTAAGAGTACATGACAATGAGAAAATTAAGAATTGCAAGAAACATATTGTAATTTAACAACACACAAAAACTTTGTTTTGCTTTGTAGTAAAATACACAGCATCCTACAATGGCAATGTATTTGAGAAAGAGAGGGAGTTGGAATTCATTGTTGGAGAAGGAGATGAGCAAGGAATCATCCCTGGTTTGGAACAAGCTGTGAAGAAAATGAAACAGCATGAGAAATCCAAATTTGATATCAAGCCTTCACAAGCTTATGGTGCCAAGGGAAATACAGAGTTTAACATTCCAGGGGAAGCAACTCTAGTGTATGAAGTTGAATTGTTAAGCTTTGAAAAGGTACACATTATTTACTGCGTTGCTAAGGAAAAGTTGTAACATAAAGACTGTACTGTATACAAGGTTTCTTTATCTTAAGGTAAGGAGTGTTACAAACTTACAGGTAATTTGGTTCCACAATCACCAGTGAAATTAACTTGTTGTTATCTTATTTATATAAAAATAAGGAGATAGGTATGATTGCAAATATGTATGTGTAGTTGCAAAAATGCTTCAATCACATTTTGAAACATAACTGGCAAAATATTTGTAGTGTTTATTTTTATTGAAAATTGTAACTTTAGCATTCCTGTTTTTTTCAGACAGATTGGCAAAATACATAGCTACCTGAGGCAACTTGTCACCCTCATTGATCAAAAGTATGCAAAATGACTGGACATTTTTTGTTGTGCTAGTCTGTTAGGCTTTATATAACACAAAAATGACTAGTCCAGTAGTAACTAACTCCCTGTACATTTTTATGCCCCCGCCGTTGCGGAGGGGGCATTGTGTTTTACCGTTGTCCGACTGTACGTCCGTACGTTCTCTAACTTGAGTTTGCCTCAACCAAATGTTATGAAACTTATACACAATGCTTATTGCCACAAAACACAGATCAAGCTTGAATTTGGGTAGCGTCACTTTTACCATTCCAGAGTTATGCCCCTTTACAAATGGAAAAATTGCTGAATTTTTCGTTTCTGTTCTCTAACTTTAGTTTGCCTTAACCAAATATTATGAAACTTATACACAATGCTTATTACCACAAAATACAGATCAAGTTTGAATTTGAACAGAATTTTACTGTTCTAGAGTTATGCCCCTTTACAAATGGAAAAATTGCTGATTTTTCGTTTTTGTTCTCCAACTTAAGTTTGCCTCAAGCTAATGTTTTGAAACTTATACACAATGCTTATTACCACAAAACACAGATTAAGTACACATTTGGTTAGTGTCACTTTTATTGTTCTTGAGTTATGTCTCTTTATAATCTTGTATGCAAGCGGGGGCATCATCTGTGTCCCATGGACACATTCCCCATTTATTTTGAATTTAGAAATATCCTTCAGAAGACCAATCATCCACTTTAAAAATCCTCTTATTTCTCCCTCTTTTTGCATTTTTTTCATTACAGTCAGTAATAATTTTTCTAAAACTTACAAATCATTGGATTATCTATGCATTGTTATTTTCACTTTATATAACCCAAGTTACCTTTTGGCATGTTTTTTTTTAAGATTTATTGATGTTGATTGGATCCATACTTTAAACATAAATAATTTAACTGCTAAAAGTATGATGAAATATTATAAAACCAAGTGTCCTACGACAAATGTCCTCTTTGAAAAATGTCCCCAGTGGTACAGTTCTCACTTGGAATTTTAAAAAGTGGATACTCAATAAATGTATCAACAAAAGAATGCCATTGGTTAGAAGTCTTTGAATAGAGAATGGAAACAGGAATATGTCAAAGAGACAACAACCCGACCTAAGAGCAGAAAACAGCCAAAGGCCACTAATAGGTCTTCAAGGCAGTGAGTAAATCTGGCACTGGGAGGCAGGCTTCAGCTGATCCCTTAAACAATAATGTATACTAGTTCAGCAAAATGGATGCCAAACTTAACTCTGAAAACATACAACTAAACCAAAATTAAAAAAACAAAAGACTAACAAAGGCTAGAGGTTCCTGACTTTTAAACATGTTTTGTGAGATCTCAACCCTCCCCTATACCTCTAGCCTATGTTATCATGCTGTATAACACATACAGAATGCATCTTCATACACATTTGATTTTTTTTATAATCCAATGCTTTAATATAAATTCTGGTATGAATGTGCATTTATATATTGGCTGATTTCAGGCAAAAGAATCTTGGGAATTTTCTACAGAGGAAAAGTTAGAACAATCAGAAATTGCTAAAAACAGAGGAACCCATTACTTCAAGGTAAGATTGATGTAAAAAATAACTAAAGTATGGTATGTCTCTTTTAGGAGAAACAACCTTGGGAACTTGATACGTACGGACGATCGGATATTGCAGAACAAGCCAAAAATAAAGGAAATAAATATTTCAAGGTAGGCTAATGATTCCTTAAAATTTGGCTTGCTGTTGACTAAGTGTTTTGCTTTGACATTGTATAATCTTTGAACCAAAACATTGCCAAAGAGAAAGCTGAGTTCACCCTGGTTTTTAATGAGGTTTTGTTTTATGGACTATTGTTTTTGTCGAGCCTGCGACTTTTGTCGCAGAAAGCTCGACATAGGGATAGTGATCCGGCGGCGGAGGCGTTAGCTAACTTCTTAAAAGCTTTATATTTTAGAAGGTGGAAGGTCTGTATGCTTCATACTTTGTATATGGATGCCTCATGTTACGAAGTTTCCGTCAGTCACATGTCCAATGTCCTTGACCTCATTTTCATGGTTCAGTGACTACTTGAAAAAAAAGTTCAGATTTTTTGTAATGTTAGATTCTCTCTTATTATAAGTTATAGGATAACTATATTTGGAATGTGCGTACCTTGCAAGGTCCTCATGCCCGTCAGACAGTTTTCACTTGACCTCGACCTCATTTCATGGATCAGTGAACAAGGTTAAGTTTTGGTGGTCAAGTCCATATCTCAGATACTATAAGCAATAGGTCTAGTATATTCGGTGTATGGAAGGACTGTAAGGTGTACATGTCCAACTGGCAGGTGTCATCTGACCTTGACCTCATTTTCATGGTTCAGTGGTTATAGTTAAGTTTTTGTGTTTTAGTCTGTTTTTCTTATACTGTATGCCATAGGTCTACTATATTTGGTGTATGGAATGATTGTAAGGTGTACATGTCTAGCGGGCAGGTGTCATCTGACCTTGACCTCATTTTCATGGTTCAGTGGTCAAAGTTAAGTTTTTGAGTTTTGGTCTTTTTTTCTAATACTATATGCAATAGGTCATCTATATTTGGTGTATGGAAATATTTTATGATGTACCTGTCAGTCTTGCAGGTTTTATTTGACCTTGACCTCATTTTCACAGTTCATTGCTCAGTGTTAAGTTTTTGTGTTTTGGTCTGTTTTTCTAATACTATAAGCAAAAGGTCAACTATATTTGTTGTATGGAAGGATTGCAATCTGTAGTACATGTCTGCCTGGCATTGTTCATCTGACCTTGACCTCATTTTCTTGGTTCATTGGTCAATGTTTAGTTTTCTTGGTTAAGTCTGTATCTTAGAAACTATAAACAATAGGTCAACTATATTTAGTGTATTGAATGATTGTAAGGTGTACATGTATTTCTTGTTTGGTTTATATGACCTTGACATCATTTTCTTGGATCATGTTAAGTGTATGTGATAGTTGTAGTAAAGCTTTATATTGAGGACTATCAACATAATATCAATGATTAGTAAAGAAGGCGAGACATTTCAGCGTGTGCACTCTTGTTTTTATCTAATTGACTTTTTATGTTCAAAAATAGACAGATCGGTCATATTTGGACTTCATTTACTCACTGCTTTCATTTGGGGTACATTGGAATTTAAACAGCATAATAAGACAGAAAAAATCTATTTTCTGTGAAGACACACATGCTTTATCTTGCTTAGAAATGCTCTTAATATTAAAAGTTTCTCTTTTTTTTCTCTATTTTTTTTAAAGGATGAAAATGCATGATCTGTAAAGTTTCTAAAATTTCTAAAGAATGCACTACTTTAATATTGTAAAAATGTCTGTATTACTAAAATTTTGTGAAAACTAACAATCAAACCTTTCATACCTTTTGTTTTATCATGTTTATTAATTAAATTAGAATTAACATGCCCTCTTCCAGTGATGGTCAATAAAATTACTGTACATATGTGTGCTAAAAAGAAATGCAAATTAACCTGTTTTCAGATAATAGGTTTATCATAAACAGGATATAAATATATTTTAAAGGCTACATTTTTCACATTAGTGACTTTTGATAACGTTAGATATAAATCACTTAAGTGACAATATGTTTAAATAACTGTTTATAAAGTTTTAACATAATACATGCTGGAAAATATAGCCAGGTAAACTGGTTAAGGTAGCTGGGGTGTCTTCCTCCTTCTTAGATTTTGAAATAGCAGATAACAATCGGTCTAGATATTTAATGAAATGTGCAAATTTCGAGAGAAGTATGTAATTCTTGTGTAAGACTTTTCATGTTAATATAGAAAAATTATGTTTTTTATCATATTTTACGGCTGTATTTTACAAAAAATAGAATATTTTTGTTTGATTCCATTTTTTTTCAACTTTGCAACATAAGGGGAGATAGCTCAGATAAAGTAACTTTTTAAGAGAATGTGTTATGAACTTACCTATTTTATTATGTAGCAAGAAAACGAGTTCCGTGACCCCATTTTCTCTTTTTCTTAGCTGAAAGCATATTATTAGCACTATCTTCTCATATTTTATCTTAAAATTCTATGGTTTAGTTTTCTTTTTATCACACAAAATTGGGTTTTCCATACATAATCTATACAAACTCTGACAATTTTGCACAACCTGTAGTGTGAGAAAAAGCCTGGTGACCCATACTTTTTATTATATTTTTGAAAAAAGCATGATATAAACTACATTTTGACAAATTAAAAAAAAATTCTATGGATTTTATATTTAGACCATCCATCTACCTTAAGAAGAAGCAATTGAATTGTGTAAGATTCAATGAAAATGACCAGTCCATATCAGAATAAGTGTAAGGGATAAATTGGGTAGGGAAAAAATGACAGATATTTTAAGTTAATTACTAACTTGTTTTTTTTGGGGTTCATACACTATTTTAAGTGATTTTTTTAATGAAAAATATCCCAAAACATCAAGCTTAAATCATAAAGTGCTGCATGGTTAAGCCATTCAAAACAATATTCTTACTCTTTCACCTCAATTAGAAATAAACTGGTGAAGACGTTAAACAAATGAAGTCAAAGACCATATGATTATTTTTATGCCCCATTTATGGGCATTATGTTTTTCGGTCTGTGCGTCCGTTCGTTCGTCCGTCTGTCCCGCTTCTGGTTAAAGTTTTTGGTCAAGGTAGTATTTGATGAAGTTGCAGTCCAATCAACTTGAAACTTTGTACACATGTTCCCTATGATATGATCTTTCTAATTTTAATGCCAAATTAGAGTTTTGATTCCAATTTCACAGTCCACTGAACATAGAAAATGATAGTGCAAGTGGGGCATCCGTATACTATGGACACATTCTTGTTATCAATTAAATTCAAACAATCTATCAAAAACTGTCAAATATAGATTTGTTTAGAGAATATTTATAACAGGGATTTGTCTTCTGATTTGTTTAGAGAATATTTATAGCAGGGATATGTCTTCTGATTTGTTTAGAGAATATTTATAGCAGGGATATGCCTTCTGATTTGTTTAGAGAATATTTATAGCAGGAATATGTCTTCTGATTTGTTTAGAGAATATTTATAACAGGGTTTGTCTTCTGATTTGTTAAGAGAATATTTATGGCAGGGATATGTCTTCTGATTTGTTTAGAGAATATTTATGGCAGGGATATGTCTTCTGATTTGTTAAGAGAATATTTATGGCAGGGATATGTCTTCTGATTTGTTTAGAGAATATTTATAACAGGGATTTGTCTTCTGATTTGTTAAGAGAATATTTATGGCAGGGATATGTCTTCTGAATTGTTTAGAGAATATTTATGGCAGGGATATGTCTTCTGATTTGTTTAGAGAATATTTTATAACAGGGATTTGTCTTCTGATTTGTTTAGAGAATACTTTATAACAGGGATTTTTCTTCTGATTTGTTTAGAGAATATTTATGGCAGGGATATGTCTTCTGATTTGTTTAGAGAATATTTTATAACAAGGATTTTTCTTCTGATTTGTTCAGAGAATATTTTATCTTTAACAGGGCTATGTCTTCTGATTTGTTCAGAAAATATTTATAACAGGGAAATGTCTTCTGATTTGAGTTCAAGTTTAACATGCTGAAGCTGTATATAAAATCTTAACTGAGACATCACCATTTACTGTAACTTGACCTTCATAATTTGTAGGTTATTAAATTATAGTTATTATTCATAATGATGATTTATTCAAAATAGCTGTTGGACAGTGTTGTTATAAGTTGACAAACAGAACTTGCTTTTAATAACCAAGCCTTTTTGCCTATATGAATCTTGACAGTTATTCTATGTACTGAAAATAACATTTATATTCTGGCATAGCTAAAACTAAGCAAGATATATCAAAGCAGTAATAAATATTACACAATGCATTTATATGAAGTTCATCTGTTCTTTATAAAGGTCAAAAGGACATAAAGGGTTATATGTCTAAATAAGTCTAAATTTTCAAAAATAAGATGAGCCTCATACTGCATTAAACAATTTTGTTTAGAAAAATATGCAAGCTGCTAATGTGTATTGTTATTGTATTACAATGTCAACAAATTGGGAAACTGTCTCGTCATTAGGTAAATAACAAAATATTTGGTGGAGAAAATGTATATCATCACCTAACAGTATAATCTAATCAAATATATAGTGTCTCGCCTTGACAGATTCAAAAAGCGGGACATAGGTATGCTGTTTCCCGCGTCAGCGTCGTCAACAATGTATTAGTTTGTGATTAGGTCTAGTTTGTGGTGAACCACTAGTGGTAGGTCAATGATATTTGGTATGCAGTTGTATTAGCATTGGCACATCTCATTTCCATTGAAATTATTTGGCCCCGCCCCCTCAGTCATGTTCTATTAACTTTAAAACTTTTGCATAGTTTACATGTATTAGTTTGAGATTAGGTCAGTTTATAGGAAACCACTAGTGGTAAGTCAATGATATTTGGTATGCAGTTCTATAAGCATTGGCACATCTTATTCCCATTGAATTTATTTGGCCCTGCCCCCTCAGTCATGGTCTATTGACTTGAAAATTTTTGCATAGTTTACATGTATTAGTTTGTGATTAGGTCAGTTTATGGGGAACCACTAGTGGTAGGTCAATGATATTTGGTATTAGTTGTATTAGCATTGGCACATCTCATTCCCATGGAAAATAGTGGTAGGTCAATAATATTTGGTATTCAGTTGTATGAGAATTGGCACATCTTATTTCCATGGAAAGAAGTGGTACATGTAGGTCAATAATATTTGGTATTCAGTTGTATTAGCATTGGCACATCTTATTTCCATGGAAAGTAGTGGTAGGTCAATAATATTTGGTATTCAGTTGTATTAGCATTGGCACATCTTATTTCCATGGAAAGAAGTGGTACATGTAGGTCAATAATATTTGGTATTCAGTTGATTGACAGGAAATTATGATTCAATTTTTTTTTTCTTATACAATTTTTTTTTCTTACACATATTTTATTTCTCCAATGACAATGTGGGGACGTGGGGTATGTGAGCGCGCTCACTAAGGTTCTTTAATTTCAATGGAAAGTAGTGGTAGGTCAATAATTTGGTATTCAGTTGTATTAGCATTGGCACATCTTATTTCCATGGAAAATAGTGGTAGGTCAATGATATTTGGTATTCAGTTGTAGTAGCATTGGCCCATCTTATTTCCATGGAAAATAGTGGTAGGTCAATAATATTTGGTATTCAGTTGTATTAGCATTGGCACATCTTATTTCCATGGAAAATAGTGGTAGGTCAATAATATTTGGTATTCAGTTGTATTAGCATTGGCACATCTTATATTATTTCCATGGAAATTGTTGGCCCCGCCCTCTCAGTCGTGGTCTATTGATTTTGAAACTTTTGATTAGTATTCATGTATTAGCATGATTAGTTTGTGATTAAGTCTGTTTATGGGGAACTACTAGTGGTAGGTCAATGATATTTGGTATGCATACATATGCATTAGCATTGGCACATCTCATATCCATGGATTTGTTTTGCCCTGTACCTTCAGTCATGGTTCATATGACTTTAAATTTTTTGCTTTTTATAACTTAAATGTTAAAGTATTGCTATTTTAATTTCAACATTTGCATTTTACTATCAAAATAACAAAAAAGGCGAGACATATATTTGTACATATGTTAACAGTTTATTTCTAATATGTCATTATCCAAACCAAAATCGTGTAAAAAAAGATGCAAATTCAAAATTTTCCAGAAAAATAAAATTTACATTGGGGTACTTTTTTTCATAAGAACTACAGATGTGATGCTTCACAGACATATTTTTAAGGTCAATACCAAAGTTCAATTTCAGAAAAATAGTGACCCAATTATTTATGTTGTTTCTCATGACTAAATGGAGGTCAAGTTCAATTTTGATGATTTTCACTTTTGCAGTTCAAGAAATGTTGTACTTGATAGATTGAAAACTGCTGCCTAATGTCACTTCTGTGCAATATTGTTTACCCTTTTAACCAATCTTTTCTAATGCTGTTTATCACATTAAAAGCCAGAGGAACTCGAAATAATAAAAACAAGATGGCTGCCACGACCGAAGAATATCCTTAAAAGAAGATCTGAAAAGAATACCCTTAATTTAGTATTTAGCTATAAATTTATTAATGTCGGTCTAGAACAGCTGCCTACATATAATTTATTGCTAAATACTGAATTATACTTGATACATTAGTCTTCACAAATAACTAAAAGCCCTATGGTTCAAGCCCAGGTCAGTTTAACTGTTATCAGTCCAGTAAAATTTTCCTGAAATGAGGCCTCAAAAACCAGACCAATTTAAACAAATGTTATGAAAAACTGATTTTTGAGCTAAACATATATTTCTCAAGGACTAATTGACCATTTTATTTCTCAAGGACTGTAATTAACCATTTAATTTGCAGAAAGAAAACTACAGCAAGGCAAAGCAGTTCTATAAAAAAGTGAAGAAATATTTAGAATATGAAACAGACTTACAGGAAGAAAATAAAGAGAAAAGGAATAGTTTAATGTTAGCTACACATCTGAACATTGCAATGTGTGAAATCAAACTGGGAGATTTTTCTGAAGCCAGGGAAGAATGCAATAAAGCTTTAGAGTTGGACCCTAAAAGTGTCAAGGCACACTTTAGGAGGGCTACGGTAATTATTTTATTTTGAGAAAATTGAAAGTTGTTGAATTTTTATGATTCATTACCCATTATAAAGCTTTTTACTTAAGAGTACAATCTACTGTGGATTCATTTATTTTCGTGGGTACCAATTTTCGTAGATTGCGAAAAACTTGCATTTTCGTGGATATTTGATTTCGTGGTTTTGGCAAAGTCTACATATAACACTATAGGAAATTTGTTATTTGTTGAACATTTAATTTCGTGGTTCACTTGTAACAACGAAATCCACGAAAATTGGTATCCCACGATTATTAATGAATCCACAGTATGTGTATGAATTTTTGTCAAAACTAATAAGTGTTTGGAAAAGTTTTGTTACCAATCAATATACTGGATTCATTTATTTTTGTGGGTACCAATTTTTGTGGATTGAGGAAAACTTGGTATTTTCATGGATTTTTGTTTTTTATGGTTCTACAAAATTTTTTTATACAAGCCTACAGTAAATTTAAAATTTTTGAACATTGAAATTTGTGGTTTCTCTATACCCACAAAATCAACGAAAATAGTTTCACCAGAATGATTCTGAATCCACATTATGTTAACCAAAAACCATGTTCTGAACAGAAGCTGTCTTTTATAGACATCCTTATCAACAGGGTTTCCTCTAAATCAAATTTCTTTTTTGCCACCCCTTTTCAATATTTTTTCACCAATTTCTTTTACTCTTTGCAAACAAGCTAAATTTCAATTTGCCGCACCATCCTTTTATGTCCATTGAGGTGTAATATTGAGTCCCAGTGTACATAAATCCCACATCTCAATTTCATAACATTTTGATAAACATGATAAATGAACACTGAATTAGAACAATAATTTGTATTTACATTTATAAATTCTGTAACATTACACTAAAAAGTAGACAATAAAACTTTCCTACTGATCCCCTTTTCACATCTTCGCTAGCCAAGGGTTACGATCCTGTCCCTCCTCTCCACCCTTGGCAGATTAAGATAGAATTTCGGATCCAGGAGGTAATGATTTCCATTGGTAGCAGTTTATGAGTTTGTCTTGTACTTTAAAGTAGATTTGATATGTATTTCTTTTACATTTTTAGGCATATTTTCAAGTTCATGATCATGAATCAGCTAAAGCAGATTATGAGAAAGTCCTAGAGTATGAACCAGAGAACAAAGCAGCTAAAAATCAAATAGTTATTTGTGAACAAAAACTGAAGCAGTTCAGGGAAAAAGAAAAACATATTTATGCTGGAATGTTTAATAAATTTGCTGAACGTGATTCACGCAATGTAAGTTCATAGAAACAAATAATTAGAAAAAAAAAGGGTTCAGACAGGATTTCCAGGAGACAAGATACTCGAGAAAAATAAGGAAATAACTTAAAATATTATAAGAACTCTGCTTATATAGTTGAAATTTCAAAAATCTGTTAAATGTAAATATTACTTGTCCTGTATGAATAATTGCTTGAGAATGTTTTAAGCTTGGCACTTTGATGTGAGGCCCCAACATGTACTCTTTCTTCGTAAAAATGATAATTATTTTTCACCAATATTCAATGGTAAATATTTCTATTTAGAGCACTTTTAATTTTCATTTAGTTTAACTCTTCGTCTACTTTGTATTACTTTGAATTCTATGCGACTGACATACAATTGAGAAGTTTAGCTAGCTATAAGACCAGGTTTAATCCACCATTTTCTAGATAAGATAATGCCTGTACCAAGTCAGGAATATGACAGTTGTTTTCCATTTGTTTGAGTTTTTGATTTTACCATTTAATAAAGGACTTTCCTTGGAATTTGGTATTTTTGTTATTTTACTTTTTTGCTTTGCAAACAATGTTTTTCAATATTGTTGATTTGAAGCAACAGATATGGAGTACAAACGAAGCTGATGTTACCATGGTTACCACATGGGTAACAAAATTTGTAAAAAGATATATAAATTTTCTGTCACAACATAATACCACTTTTATGAATTTTAATTAAAGCCTAACAATAAATACACAAAATGATCATCACTGATGAGGTATGAAGAACACACATTAGTTTGTGTCACTATTTCATATTGTACATGATGTTGGGATAAATGGTTCAGTGTTCTTCAACCTGATTCAAATACAGATCTTGTTTCCATGCTCTGCTAACAAGAAGCTGACAACACTTGGTTCTTCTTTCTGTTTTAAAGACCTTTCAGGATCCTCTGGTTTTGTTGTAATGGTACACACTTAAAAATTTGAAGGCAGAAATTTCTTTGACTGCTGTAATAATTACCAGAACAGAAAGTAGAACAGAGCATTGTCAGGTCCTTGTACCTGAAGCGTGGACGTCCTTGTAACTGAAGGGTGGACGTGGACGTCCTTTTAACAGAAGGGTGGACGTGGACGTCCTTTTAACAGAAGGGTGGACGTGGACGTCCTTTTAATTGAAGCGTGGACACTGGATCTGTATTTTAATCAGATTGAGTGTTCTCTTGCTGAAGTGTCAGAAGATTTTTTTCAAGATGTGTCAGTAGATTTTTTCAAGAAGTGTCAGTAGATTGTATTTAAAATCTAGTTTGAAATAAAAAAGTTCATTTTTATCAAACTACTTGTGTATTTAGAATATATTTAAAATAAATGTGCCATCAACACAGTAATATCTACAGTTTTGATTGGGAGGGATTAGTATTTCATGAAAACTGGCATGTTGAAATGTCATTAATCATCTCTGACAGTGAAAGGGAGAACCATATAAAAGGACAAGTTTCATATACAGGTTTGCTTGATTACTTTATTTTTATGAAATTGACTATTAAAATAATTTAAAAGAAAAAGGAGTCAAGGATCTAGCATGCTATGTATAGTGATAACTTGTCCTTTTTGTTTTCTAGCCATACTCTGGCTATGAAGATGGGCTGGAAAGCATTGGGGAATGGCGTAATGAAATGGCCGATGGTATGATGACACTTCAGCAAGAGTGTGAGGCATTTGGTGAAACAATGCCGGAACCTAAAACCAACAATCATGGCAGAAAACACCAGGAAGATGATTGACAGGTCTACAAGATATAACAATGGTATTATAATGGTCTCTCTTTACTTTGAAGACTGATTTGAGTGACATTTAATCAGTTTTCAGAATTAACATTGATCAGCAGCCCTATTTGCTCTTATTTTTTTTCACTTTTTGCTTTAGGCCTGTTCCATTAAAATAAAATGGGAGGGTAGAAAGTGTGTGTTATTTATGGTAGTATGTCACTTTGTTGTATGTAATCATATTTGTTTTTCACTTGTTGTATAGTTCAGGCATTTGGTTTTCTCATTTAATTGGTTTTTTTTTTATTGTTTTTACATTTTGTCATGTGGGATCCTTTTACAGCTTGGTATGCAGTATTGGTTTGTTCATAGTTAAAGTCCATACAGTGAACTCATGGAACTGTAGTTCATCTATGTCATTTGGTCTCTGGTGAATAGTTGTCTCATAGACATTCAAACCACATCTCCTTTTTTATGAAGTTCCTCAAAGAAAAAAAAGTGGTTGCCCAAATACAGTGCATGAATACCATAGTCACAAAAGTCAGTATTAAAGCTATTTATTTTCCTATAATGGTATATATTAAGGAATTGATATGTAAAAGTAAGAAGATGTGGTATGATTGCCCCCACCAGAGACCAAAATGACATAGAAGTTAACATATATAGGTCAATATATGGCCTTCAACAATGAGCAAAAACCATACTGTATAGTACGCTATAAAAGGCCCTGAAATGACAAATGTAAACAATTCAAATGAGAAAACTTATGGCCTTATTATGTTCAAAACCATAAACTAAAAACAAATATGATATACAGGAACAAACGACAACCACTGAATTACAGGCTCTTGATTTGGGACAAACACATACAGAATGTGGTGGGGTTAATCATGTTTGCTGGCATCAAACCTTCCCCTAACCTGGGACAGTGGTATAACATTACAACATAAGATATATTTACTCTATAGGTACCAGAACAAATATCAGTATAATTGATATAATGTTTTTAAGAATTTGAAACTAAATACCATTTGTGAATTATTAATGTTTTTATTTATAGGTGAAAGCTTCAGATGAATCTAAGACAACCAAGGAGGCAGATTCTAAACCAGAAGAAAGTGCTCCAATGGAAACAAGTTAAAATGGTGGAGGATTTTATTTACTTTTATAATTATTATTGTTGATTTAATTGTGATCTGTATACTGCCATTTTGTTTTTGAGATACAATTTTGTTCCTAAGATATGGAATGTATTTTCATTAATAATAAATTGTGCCATGAATATAGTAATTTCTGAACATTGAAACATTTGTATGTAAAGGATTTGTAATCTGATCTTTGTTAAACAAGACATGGAAATCTATTGACCTCATTATTTTTTATTCAGTTTGTAAAAAAAACGTCATACACAATATACTTTATGTGTCATTACATGTATATCTGTATATCATATCTTTGTATACCATATCAGCAAAAAGTATTATACATACATAATGTAAAGGTATATTGTTTACACAACTCTTAAGTTACAGTAATGATTATATTTTGGACATCATTCCTTGTATTCACATATAAAATAAGGCTGTTTTGTCATTTTCAGTGTCTTTCTTGTATGAATAGAATTGGCATTATTTGCTGTATTAGAAAAAAACAATCTCCCATGTTTCCCATCAAAATAAATAGGGTACAACAAAATGTTTGTTTCAATTTTTACAGAAACATTATTTTTTGACCAACATATATACTTATGGCTCATACATATTTCTTTTTTGGTTTAACCTCATTATAAATTTCAAATTTGATATAAAGCAGCACAATTTTTTGTAAGACCTTTTGGTAAATACCTGTATTGTATCAGCTGATTACATAATTTTATTACTCAGTTTATTTTATTATTATTTGTTGGATACAAATTCTCGTTTGTTTCGTGTGTACAGGTGAACCACAAATTTAAATATTCAACAAATTACAAATTTCCAAAAGGTTTGTATGCAGACATTGACAAAACCATGAAATCAAATATCCAGAAAATACAAGTTTCCCTCAATCCACAAAAATTAGTTCCCACAAAAATAAATTAATCCACCTTATCAATATATAATTCTATGTTGTGCATTGTCAAATTGTCTCTTCTACTTCTTATTGTAATATTTGGAGGATCATCTAACTACCATAGCTCCAACTTAGTGCTTGTCAAATTCTGATGAAAATTTGTGCTGATGTTAGAAATTTATTTATCCTTGTTGACCAAGTTTTTTTGAACTTTTCTAGTGTTTGGTGATTTAGATCTCTATTTGTTGAGGGTACTTTTCCAGTGATTCTAAAACATGGGTATTGGTATTTGTTTAGTGGAGTATTGTCTCATTGAGACTCATCCTACATTACATTATTGCTCTGCACAAGCCAATACTGTCAATTCTCCAATTTTCCATTTGATTATGGACATCTAACGCTATTATCTTTTAGTTAAACTTCACATCTGCACTGAGGGGAAACTGCAACGGTGCAACCAAATATTATTGTGTTAGTTTAGACAAACATAATATATTGGTTATTTCCCCTTTTTCAGTAAAAGTATGAACTTCCAGTTGTAAACTTATATACCAGTAAAGAATGAAAAACTTTCTAAATACATATGTAAATAGTACAAAATTAACTTAATGGGTAATTATAAAGTTTTGAGGTCGTTTATCATTTCAACACAAGAACAGGTAAACCAGAAATATCCACCATGTATAAGATATACATTGTAAACTGTCTAGATCTGACAAATTTCAAGTGTTTACTCAATGTTTTAGAAAAAAAGTCTTCCAAGCTGACTGATTGAAAATTTTCAGTCTAATATCAAAAAGCATCACCAGCTTTTAAATTACTGTATTAAAACTGCAATAGTGTAAAGTAATTCCCTTGGTTGTTCTGCTTTTTATGTGCACATAAATGAGGAAGATTTTTGAAAGACATTTTTTTCTTTCTTATCTTTAATTTTTTTTTACAACTCTGGAAAATCTAGACAACAATCTTGCACAGGAAATATCTATTTTAAAAATTGATCCAAGTTAAAAAAAAAATAGTGCATATGTTACATTGAACTGTTTACTTCAATACTTGAATTGTTAATTGCATAATATTAGCTGTCAAAAATGTTGTGATAAATCCATAACTCATTAGTGTCATGAAGTATAATTAATAGAAGAAATCATTGTATGCATTCCAATAAGTAAACAATCATTGAAATAAATCTTTTTATAAAAACATTTCTTTTGTTTATATAGTTACTGTAGTATTGTATTCGTTTAGTCAGATTTATTTAAGTTTTCGGTTAGCAAATCATGGACTATCATTTAGGAGCTTTGCTGGCAGTGCTTTTAGTATTTGTCTCATCTGCAATGAAAGTTGAAGAATGCGACACATAAAGATGCTTATCCTGTGGCGGTGGTGTAAACTAGTTTTATAAATCTATATATTTCATGTCTGTCGATTGTCCATTGTCCTTGCCCTTATTTTCATGGTTCAGCTACTTCTTAAACTAGAGGCTCTAAAGAGCCTGTCACTCACTTGCATCTTCAATAATGACAAGTTTTTTGTTAAATCATTAAAGGGGAATAACTCTATTACGAGTTAACTGACAATTTCAGTCATGTTCATGAATTTGTAGATCTTATCCTACTGATATTTTTTCTTTTTTAAGTTTTTATTTATCTTTTAAAGTTTTCAAGATAAGAGGCAAAAACTGCAAAAAAAAATGTAAATGTTATCATTTAAAGGGCAATAACTCCAATAAGGAGTTGACTGAAGATTTTGGCCATATTTGCTTATTTGTGGATCTAGACTTGCTGATCATTTTTGCTCATTTAAGTTTCTACCTATCTTATATAAAGGCAAAGTCGCAGCAAGCGAGACATAGGTATTACAATCGGGCGAAGGCATAAACTATTTGTTAAACTCTATATTTCAGAAGGTAGAAGACCTGGATGCTTCATACCTTGTATGCAGATACCTTATGTTACAAAGTTTCTGTCTGTCATATGTCCATTGTCCTTGACCTCATTTTCATGGTTCAGTGACTGCTTGGTTAAGTTTAATACTCGCTTATTATTAGTAATATGATAACTATATTTGGTATATGGGTTCCTTACAACGTCTACATGTCTGTCAGGTAGAGTTCACCTGACCTCTACCTTATTCCATGGATCAGTGACCAAGGTTAAAGTTACATGGTCAAGTCTGTATCTCAGATACTAAAAGCAAAAGGTCAACTATATTTGGTGTATGGAATGATTGTAAGGTGTACATGTCCAACTGACTGGTTTCATCAGACCTTTTAATGGTTCATTGGACAATGTTTAGTTTTTATGGTTTGGTTTATTTCTCAGATACTATAAGCAATAGGTCAATTATTTTTAGTGTACGGAACATTTGTAAGGTGTACATGTCTGTCTGGCAGGGGTCATATAAACTTGACCTCATTTTCATGGTTTATTGGTCAATGATAAGTTTTCATAATTTTGTCAGTTTATCATATACTTTAAGCAATAGGTCAACTAACAATTTCAACAGTGTTGACTTAATTGTAGATCTTGCCCTGCTGATCATTTTTACTTATTTAAGTTTCTCTGTATCTATTATAGTTTTAAGATATTAGGCAAAAATCATCATTTAAGGGCAATAATTCCTAGAAGAAGTCATTTGACAGTTTTGATGTAAATAGACAATAGGTTGATCTCAACATTCTCAACGTTTCTGCCCCGGTCATATTTTCTCTATAGCAGTTTTCAAGGTAATAGACAAAACTTGTATTTTACCCCCATTTTCAATTTTGAAACTAGATACCCCAATGATGGTAGTGGCCAAGTTTGGTTAAATTTGGCCCATTAGTTGAAGAGAAGATTTTTGTAAAAGTTAATGGACGACGACAACGGACACCAAGTGATGAGAAAAACTTAATATAAAAATAACAAGAATGTGTCCATAGTACTTCATCAAAAACTACTTTGACCAAAAACTTTAACCTGAAGCGGGACAGACGGATGGACGAACGAACAGACGCACAGACCAGAAAACATAATGCCCCATCTAATATCATAGGTGGGGCATAAAACTAGAGGCTCTAAAGAGCCTGTGTCGCTCACCTTGGTCTATGTGCATATTAAACAAAGGACACAGATGGATTCATGACAAAATTGTGTTTTGGTGATGGTGATGTGTTTGTAGATCTTACTTTACTGAACATTCTTGCAGCTTACATTTATCTCTATCTATAATGAACTTGGCCCAGTAGTTACAGTGGAAAATATTGTGTAAAAATTTACAAAAATTTACAAAATTTATGAAAATTTTAAAAAATTTACTATAAAGGGCAATAACTCCTTAAGGGATCAATTGACAATTTTGGTCATTTGACTTATTTGTAGATCTTACTTTGCTGTACATTATTGCTGTTTACAGTTTATCTCTATCTATAATAATATTCAAGATAATAACCAAAAGCTGCAAAATTTTCTTAAAATTACCAATTCAGGGGCAGCAACCCAACAACGTGTTGCCTGATTGGTCTGAAAATTTCAGGGCAGATAGATCTTGACCTAAAAACAATTTTATCCTCGTCAGATTTACTCTAAATGCTTTGGTTTCAGAGATATGAGCCAAAAACTGCATTTTACCCTATGTACTATTTTTTAGCCATGTCGGCCATCTTGGTTCGCGGGCGGGGTCATCGGACACATTTTTTAAACTAGATACCCTTATGATGATTGTGGACAAGTTTGGTTAAATTTGTCTTAGTAGTTTCATAGGAGAAGATTTTTGTAAAAGATTACAAAAATTTACGAAAAATGGTTAAAAATTGACTATAAAGGGCAATAACTCCTTAAGGGGTCAACTGACCATTTTGGTCAAGTTGACTTATTTGTAGATCTTACTTTGCTGAACATTATTGCTGTTTACAGTTTATCTCTATCTATAATAATATTCAAAATAATAACAAATAAAATGCTCCGCAGGGCGCAGCTTGATACGACCGCAGAGGTCGAACCCTGAACAGTTGGGGCAAGTATGGACACAACATTCAAGCTTGATACAGCTTTGCATTTGGATTGTGATTAAATATTTGACACAGCATAGGTTTCTGACACAGAATGAATGTGGTCTAAGAACTTAAAAATTTTAAATTGGACATTCACCTATTATGGTCCAATATCCAAAATCTAAATACATGGTTAGATTCAGCATATCAAAGAACCCCAATAATTCAATTTTTGATGAAATCAAACAAAGTTTAATTTTGGACCCTTTTGACCTCAATGTGGACAAAGTTGATAACGGGGCCCAAAAATCAAAAATCTAAATACATGATTAGATCCAGCATATCAAAGAACCCCATATATTCAATTTTTGTTGAAATCAAACAAAGTTTAATTTTGGACCCCGATTTGGACCAACTTGAAAACTGGGCCCATAATCAAAAATCTAAATACATGTTTAGATTCAGCATATCAAAGAACCCTAAGAATTAAATTTTTGTTAAAATCAAACTAAGTTTAATTTTGGACCCTTTGGACCTTAATGTAGACCAATTTGAAAACGGAACCAAAAATTAAGAATTTAAATACACGGTTAGATTCGGCATATCAAAGAACCCCAATAATTCAATTTTTGATGAAATTAAACAAAGTTTAATTTTGGACCCTTTGGACCTCAATGTGGACCAATTTAAAAACGGGGCCCAAAATCCAAAAACTTACTACACAGTATGATTCAGCATATTAAAAAACCCCAAGAATTCAAGAATAAAACCCCATTGAAATTGGTCAAGAAATAAGCAATTTATACGAAGTATCTTCTTTTGCACAATACTGTGCAATTAAATATTTCTTGCTATTGCGCAATACTGTACAATTGACAATTTCTTGCTATTGCGCAATATTGTGCTATTGGATATTTCTTGCTATTGCGCAATACTGTGCAATTGAAGATTTCTTGCTATTGCGCAATACTGTGCAATTGAAGATTTCTTGCTATTGTGCAATACTGTGCAATTGAAAATTTCTTGCTATTGCACAATACTTATTATATAATAATTTACACATCCTGTTTGGTGTGTTTCTCCTACCATATCATTATTATTTGCTTTTAAATATAAATCAGAAATAACCAACTTAAAAGAAAAAAAAAAGGAAAAAAAGAAAAAAAAGGAAAAAAAAAAAAATCCCCCCCCCAAATTTTTTGAACCCCCTTATGATTCATCACCCCCAAACTCAATCCCAGCCTTCCCTTTGTGGTATGGTACCTTGCAGTACAATTTCAGAGAGATCCATACACTTGAACACAAGTTATTGTCTGGAAACTAGAAAAATGTGTTTTTTAGCCCCTTTTGGGCCCCAAATTCCTTAACGTTTAGGGCAATTACCCCCAAACTCAAACCCAGCTTTCCCTTTGTGATATGGAACCTTGTAGTACAATTTCAGAAAGATCCATACACTTACACACAAGTTATTGTCCTGAAACTAGAAAAATGCTTGTTTTTTGCCCCTTTTTGGCCCCTAATTCCTAAAATATTGAGGCAATTACCCCCATCATCATTCCCAGCCTTCCCTTTGTGGTATGGTACCTTGCAGTACAATTTCAGAGAGATCCATACACTTGAACGCAAGTTATTGTCTGGAAACTAGAAAAATGCTTATTTTTGGCCCCTTTTTGGCCCCCAATTCCTAAACTTTTCAGCAAATTACCCCCAAACTCAATTCCAGCTTTCCCTTTGTGATATGGAACCTTGTAGTACAATTTCAGAAAGATCCATACACTTACACACAAGTTATTGTCATGAAACTAGAAAAATGCTTGTTTTTTGCCCCTTTTTTTGCCCCTAATTCCTAAAATTTGGAGGCAATTACCCCCAAAATCAATCCCAGCATTCCTTTTGTGATATGGAACCTTGTGGTACAATGTCAGAGAGATCCATACACTAACACACAAGTTATGTCTGGAAGTTACAAAAATGCTTATTTTTGGCCCCTAATTCCTTTACTGTTGGTACCATAACCCCCAAAATCAATCCCAACCTTCCTTTTGTGGTATTGAACCTTGTGGTAAAATTTGATAGAGATCCATTCACTTAAACTAAAGTTAGAGTGCGAAAACCAATGTGTCTTCGGACGACGCCGGACGACGCCAGACGACGACGACGACGACGACGACGACAACGACGACGACGACGACGACGACGACGACAACGACGACGACGACGACGACGACGACGCCAACGTCATACCAATATACGACCACAAAAATTTTTTTGCGGTCGTATAAAAACTGCAAAATTTTGTTAAAACTATCAATTCGGTGGCAGCAACCCAACAATGGGTTGTTCGATTCGTCTGATAATTTCAGGGCCGATAGATCTTGACCAATTAAACAAATTTACCCCATGTCAGATTTGCTCTAAAAGATTTAGTTTTTGAGATATAAGCGAAAAAACTGCATTTGACCCTTGTGCTCTATTTTTATACGCCCGTTTACGGGACGTATTATGGTATAACGCTGACCGTCTGTCCGTCCATCTGTCCGTCCGTCCGTCTGTCCGTCCGTCCGTCGTCAACATGTCGGACATTAATTCAAAAATGCTTTAACCAATATGCATGAAACTTTTGTGAATTGTTTATATCTATTGACGTGAGCTCCCTTTCGTTTTTTATAAATTTCAGATTTACCATTTCCGAGTTTTGGGGTTTTATTTATTAAAAAAGGAGGTATTTTCCAGTTTTCGGACAATAACTCAAAAACAATTTCACCAATTTGCATGAAACTTTTGTGAATTGTTCATATCTATTGACGTGAGCTCCCTTTCATTTTATATAAATTTTGGATTTACCGTTTCTGAGTTTTGGGGTTTTATTCATTAAAAAAGGGGGGATTTTCCAGTTTTCAGACAATAACTCAAAAACAATTTCACCAATTTGCAAGAAACTTTGGTGAATTGTTTATTTCTATCGACATGAGCTCCCTTTTAATTTTTATAAATTTCAGAATATATGTTTATGGGGTTTTATTCATTACAAAAAGGGGGATTTTCCAGTTTTCGGACAATAACTCAAAAATGCTTTCAGCATTTTTTATGAGACTTTGGTAAATTGTTTATATCTATTTTTGTAAGCTCACTTTTGATTTTTATAAATTTTCGATTTCACATTTCAGAGTTATAAGATTTTATTTGTTTATAGTCTGACAACAGATTTACTAAGTATTGCGCAACAGCACAGTGTATTGCACAACAGCAAGAAATCTTTCATATAACCAATTTCAAGTTCTTTGACTACATTTATTCAGAAACCTATAATATATCAAATATTTAATTACAATCCAAATTCAGACCTGTATCAAGCTTGAATATTGTGTCCATTTTTGCCCCTACTGTTCAGGGTTGGACCTCTGCGGGCGTATCCAGCTGCGCTCAGCGAAGCAGTTTATTAGCGATGGCGGCCATGTTTGTCAATGGATCAAAACTTCGGATACAATTTATAAACAAGATACCCTAAGGAACATTTAGTTAAAGTTGAAGGTAATTGGCCCAGTAGTTTCAGAGGAGAAGATTTTTAAATGTTAGCAAACTTGATGAACAAATTGTGTAAAATTGTCTTTAAAGGGCAATAACTCCTTAAGGGGTCAATTGACAATTATGGTCATATTAACTTTTTTGTAGATCTTACTTTGCTGAACATTATTGCTTACAGTTTATATATATCTATAATAATATTCAAAATAATAACAACTAGAGGCTCTCAAGAGCCTGTGTCGCTCACCTGACTCTACTTTGGTTTTAGAAATCATGTAAAGATAGATAAAAATCATAACAGATACCCAAATAATGATTGAGGCCAAATTTTGATTAATATTGGTCCCGTTATTTAATAAAATATCCTGGTGGCCATCTTGAACAGTAAATCGGCAACAAAGTAGCAACACTTGGTCAGCACTTCATAAGGAACATTCATGCCATGTTTGGTTTCATTCCATTCATTGGTACTCTAAAAGAAGACATTTGTATGTATTTCCCATAGGGTCCTATGTTATACTAAGCCCCCCCCCCCCTAAGCGGCCATCTTGGATGATGGATCGACTGCAAAGTAGCAACACTTGGTCAGCAACTCATAAGGAACATTCATGCCATGTTTGGTTCATTTCCATTCAGTGGTTCTCTAAAAGAAGACAATTGTATGTATTTCCCATAGGGTCCTATGTTAAACTAAGTCCCCCGCTGCAAAGTAACAACACTTGGTCAACATCTCATAAGGAACATTCATGCCATGTTTGGTTCCATTCCATTTATTGGTTCTCTAAAAGAAGACATTTTTATGTATTTCCCAAAGGGTCCTATGTAAAACTAAGTCCCCCGCTGGCGGCCATCTTGGATAATGGATCGGCTACAAAGTAACAACACTTGGTGATCACCTCATAAGGAACATTCATGCCACGTTTGGTTTCATTCCATTCAGTGGTTCTCTAAAAGAAGACATTTGTATGTATTTCCCATAGGGTCCTATGTTAAACTAAGTCCCCCCCTGGCGGCCATCTTGGATGATGGATCGGCAACAAAGTAACAACACTTGGTCAGAACCTCATAAGGAACATTCATGCCATGTTTGGTTTCATTCCATTCAGTGGTTCTCTAAAAGAAGACATTTGTATGTATTTCCCATAGGGTCCTATGTTAAACTAAGTCCCCCGCTGGCGGCCATCTTGGATGATGGACCGACTGCAAAGTAACAACACTTGGTCAGCATCTCATAAGGAACATTCATGCCATGTTTGGTTCCATTCCATTCAGTGGTTCTCTAAAAGAAGACATTTTTATGTATTTCCCATAGGGTCCTATGTTAAACTAAGTCCCCTGCTAGCGGCCATGTTGGATGATGGATCGGCTACAAAGTAACAACACTTGGTCAGCACCTCATAAGGAACATTCATGCCATGTTTGGTTTCATTCCATTTAGTGGTTCTCTAAAAGAAGACATTTGTATATATTTCCCATAGGGTCCTATGTTAAACTAAGTTCCCCGATGGCGGCCATCTTGGATGATGGATCTGCTACAAAGTAACAACACATGGTCAGCACCTCATAAGGAACATTCATGCCATGTTTGGTTTTATTCCATTCAGTGGTTCTTTAAAAGAAGTCATTTGTATGCATTTCCCATAGGGTCCTATGTTAAATTAAGTCCCCCGCTGGCGGCCATCTTGGATGATGGATCGGCTACAAAGTAACAACACTTGGTCAGCACCTCATAAGGAACATTCATGCCATGTTTGGTTTCATTACATTCAGTGGTTCTCTAAAAGAAGTCATTTGTATGCATTTCCCATTGGGTCCTATGTTAAACTAAGTCCCCCGCTGGCGGCCATCTTGGATGATGGATCGGCTACAAAGTAACAACACCTGGTCAGCACCTCATAAGGAACATTCATGCCATGTTTGGTTTCATTCCATTCAGTGGTTCTCTAGAAGAAGTTCAAAATGTAAAAAGTTAACGCCGACGACGGACGACGCCGGACGACGGACGCCAAGTGATGAGAAAAGCTCACTTGGCCCTTCGGGCCAGGTGAGCTAAAAAACTGCAAAATTTTGTTAAAACTACCAATTCGGTGGCAGCAACCCAACAATGGGTTTTTCGATTTGTCTGAAAATTTCAGAGCTGATAGATCTTGACCAATTGAAGAATTTTACCCCATGTCAGATTTGCTCTAAAAGCTTTAGTTTTTGAGATATAAGCCAAAAACTGCATTTGACCCCTATGTTCTATTTTTAGCCATGGCGACCATGTTTGTCGATGGATCAAAACTTCGGATACAATTTATAAACTAGATACCCTAAGGAACATTTAGTTAAAGTTTGAAGGTATTTGGCCCAGTAGATTCAGAGGAAAAGATTTTTGAAATAGTTTACGACGACAGACGACGATGACGACGATGGACGCCAAGTGATGGCATAAGCTCACATAGGGCCCTTTGGGCCCCGGTGAGCTAAAAAAGTGCAGAAAACTGATTATTTGAGTGAATTTTCTAAGTTCAAGGACCATAACTCTGCACAAAATCGTCAGACCGGAACAAAATTTGAACTCAATCTATTACTTGTCATGATAAAACAATACACCAAATATCAAATCAATATCTTCAAGCACAAAGAAAAAAAGTGTGGAAAATTGATTTGCCGGACTGACGGATGGACAGACAGACAGACAGACAGACAGACAGACAGACAGAGTGCAAACCTAAAGTCCCCTTCGACTTCATCGGTAGGGGACTAATTATGCATTCAAGCATTCATAGCTATTTTGTCTGAAGTTCTAATAAAGTGACAAGTCACTTCACGTCAAAACAATACCTTATTCTGACTTGTGCTGAAATATTTTATATACCTTTAATTGCATATTAGAACCAACTGGTTCCCAGAAAATTTGGTAATACAAAAACAGGTACTTCTGATCTAAGCAACAGGGCAAACATGCCCTTATATTCTAATTTCATATATTTTTTTTATCATTCAAAAGGAAACTTTCAACATGTGTTCTACAGTGATCCCAAGTCCTTAAGCTTTCATTTGATACCAAAATTACCCAAATATTTTACTTATTGACAAAGTTACAGCTATGAATAGGAACCATTTTGTTTAAAATATGTACTAATTTCTTGTATGTTCTTTCTGACCTTAGCTGAATTAGTCATTCTATACCTTATGGTTTAATTATGTTAAAGAATAAGGAGATGTGGTATGATTGCAAAAGAGACAATCATCAGCCAAAGAACAAAGAATGTAAAAGAACTACAGGTTACCGCTCATTCTTTAACAATGAGCAAAATCAATAATGTGTGGTACCCCATCTAAGCCCCTTTGATAACAAAACAATTCAAAGGAAAAATCTAATGGACTGATTTAAGATAATGACATTAACTGAAAAACAATGATAGTTTGGATGTGTGTCCAAAATTAGTCTAGATTTCCTCACTACAAACCACGGAATTTTAAGTTTACTAAGAAGAAAAATAAAACAAAACCTTTGTTAAGACTTTATTTCTTGTATAAATCTGTATAAAACTGATACTTTGATAACATATAAAGAAAATCAGTAATTTAAAGCTTATAAACAAACCTACAACCATAAACCACATTTAATGTTAAGTACCTGAGAGATGTATTTATGAGATACCAGAATTTCTTAATACATGTACTACAATCTCTCTGAACTCTAAATCATCATAATATTCATAATTCTTTAATTCCATTTTCTTATTCTTCATTTCATTTGATTTTTCCTCCTAGCTGTCCATATGTGCTGACCTGTTATATGAATTAATCATTATTTCACTGGCAATTGTACAAATGACATTTCTTCTCTCTTTCTCTTCTTTATTTCTGGAAATTATATCAGTTAAGTACTGGCCTTGAATAATAATTTGATAAAGTAAGCGACACAACTGACTACAATACATGCAGATAATAAATATCACATCAATATAACCAAGCATTCTTAATACTATCTGATTACTATACCAGCAAATACACTTTAAGTGTGTAGATGCAAGGAGATGACAGAATATATTCATAATTCTTATTAAGATTGCAAGAATGATTGTTGATTACTCAGTGAGTTTACTAAATAAGTATTAAAACAACCATGAACGCCTCAAGAAAAATATTTAAGAGATCTTTTCCGTTGTGAATGTATGAGGCATTTAGACATAGTTTGTAGGTTATAACTGTATGTCTACTTGAGGTGGCAATACACAGTTAGGAGTTTGGTTTTGCATTTTGGTACTGGTGAGTTTTTCAAATATGAAAGTTATTGTGCAATAAAATTGATTTTTAGAGAATAAGATAGCCTTCAAAGTGGGTTTATATGAACATCAAGATTGTTTTTTGCATGGTTCATAGGCCATTTTCGGTTTGACAGTCTGTATTTTTACATTTGTACCGCCCATAGGTCCATAAATTATTGTAGTGTTTTCCAAGAAATATTTTATGCTCAAACTTTTCAATTCTATGGAAAAATGAGGTGAAATTCAAATGATTTTTATTTTACCTCCTGATAGATAAATGTCAAAGGTTTCAGAAAAAAGTATCACTCAAATGGATTGAAATTATACTTTGGACCAAATTTTGGGGACTTTTGTGACATTTTTACCCCCCTTTTTTGCAATATTTTGTATAAAAACGAGCAGGTTGTTGCCATGTTACATCAAAAAGAGATTATTTTTCACCATTTTAATTATTGGAAATCAAATCTATGGAAGATGCTGCATAAATATGCACATGCATGACACAAACAGTAAGCCTATTTTGTTACAAAGCAAGGGAAAGAGTGTGGTTAAAAATTATGAGTGTCAATTTCAAGTTTTTTTTCCTAACTGTGTATTGCTACCTAATGTATGCAGATATACCAAGGGTAAGTATACTGGTTGTTGGGGTGCCTTCCTATCCTCCAAAATCTATTTAAATGGAATATCTCTTATTTTGACAGCTTAAAGTTCCTGCAGATTTTTTAATTTTACTGTGTCCCTTGCATTTACAAAACCAGTACAAGTCAAACACGTCCAAAGTTAAATGAAATATTTGTGACTAGAATTGCATGGGTCACAGGGAAAATTTTCACAAAACTATCGCAAAATTAAATACTTTTTTGATTTTTTAAAACTTATTTTCTGATGCACAGACTAAAAATTAAATTAAAATGCTAAAACAAAGATGCTTTTAAAAACAATATGTAACACCTAATCTACGTGTATATATATAATAATTTGTTTTGAAATAAATAATTTAATGACAATGTGTCAGTAAAAAAACCTTGTATCAAAAACTATAAAAAAAAAAAATCATAAAACTACATTATATGAATTGGCACTAACTTCTAAGCAAACATTTATATATATTTTACTTATTATAATTAAAAAACATTACCTAAACAAAGTGTATTACATACTAAAAGATTGATGGCTACTAAATTTATCTTAACAATAGGATATTTCTATGACATTTAGGTTAATCAGCAGTACTAAAGTTACACAACATTAATAGAATTGTTTTCATGATAATGTTCAGACAAACTCAGAAACTGCTATTAATGGCAAATTGCTGGATTATCCTGGAAAAACTACATAAGTGCAAGCAGACTTTCAAATGATACCCAACTCCACTTTTCTACAGATAATGTGAGATTCAAACTTTGCCATTGAAACCCCCAAAACCTCTTGGACCAATCAATAAAACAGGAAGTTCACAATGGCATGATGTATGAGAGATTCAGTGAAAGACTGAAATAAAGTTAAAGCTTAAGGAGTTACCGACTCATAATGCCTGTCCTTTTCTATAGATGTCAAATAAACTCAGGTTGAGTTATAACAGCCTGTGTGACAAACTTTAAACAGCAAAAGCTTTCTATAAAGGTGGTGAAAGCGACAGATGATAGTATACCTCTACATGACATATCAAAAGCCAACAGATAATAAAAGTTTTAACATATGAACAAAATTTGCCCTTGTTAACTTGTCGTATATGAGTATATTTAAAGCTTATTAAACCATAATACAAAAAATGCATCAGAAACAGGTGAATCAACCTTTCACAGTTCCAAAGTGGCAGATTTACCTCTGGGTTAATTCATTAGTGAGCCTTTGATGTAGGACCTATTTTACATTGTTTGTGAAGCTCTCTTTTGTGTAAAGAAATAAACAAAAAATTTGTTTTTTGATTTGTAGAGTAAAACAATTGTGAAAGGAAAAATAAAATTTGTTTAAGTAGGAAGCTTGAACTCCCTATCAGGAATCTTCGGAAGGAGTTGACAACCTTTATAAAAAAACATGCTTGGAGTTATCCATCAGTATTTAAAGAGTTAACATCCAAAATCATAGCATCTATACTGATGATTAATTAAAATGGGACTAGGGATTCTGTTTTTAAGTATGTATCATAAAATTTACAGACTTATAAATAATAGAAAATATATTTTTCAAAACAATAAGCCAAGTAAAAAGATAATAATAATAACGTTTGTTCCTATAAATGACACAAACATGTCAAGAAAATCAATCAAAACCTTTTTTTTTAAAATACAAGTCTAGCCTGAAATTACACATTTGATGGACTCTATTTCTGTAAAGTTGATCAAATGTATATACTCTTCACCCGTTAATAAGTTTTCAATCATTTAATAAATCTAATAAAACCATCCATTTTTTTAAGATACAAAGTAAATATCTCTGTCACAAAGACGGTGATACGTGATAGAATAATGATACTGGGATACATTTACAAATCAAAACCATTAATCATCTTTATACAAATGAAAAAGTCCTACTTTTCATCATCAGGTTGTTAAACATCTTAATAAAAAACAACTTAGGTGGAGATATTCGTACAATTAGGAATGATAAAACTACTACAAAAGTAAAACGGTGTCACAAATATACCAAATATTATCTAATTTCCTCACAAATATACCAAATATCATCTAATTTCCTCACAAATATACCAAATATCATCTAATTTCATCACAAATATACCAAATATAATCTAATTTCCTCACAAATATACCAAATATCATCTTATTTCCTTACAAATGTACCAAATATAATCTAATTTCCTTACAAATATACCAAATATTATCTAATTTCCTCATAATATACCAAATATTATCTAATTTCCTTACAAATGTACCAAATATTATCTAATTTCCTCACAATTTAAGCATTAAAAAAAGTTGTAGCTGTCTGGTACACTGATTCTGAATGATGACTGATACTATTCCTGAAACATTTCATAGTACATAACGTTCTATTCTAACTATTGTTATATTGATTATAATTCCATTGATTTTGTAAATTGAGGAGAAATAACAGTTCCCTGTGAAAAAACATGAATTCCTTGAAAATAATTGTTTTTTTTATAATTTACAGATAGTTGTGAGCAGATCTTTACAGAGACCTAACAAACAACAAATAAATACTCCATGAGCAATATAACAATCCATCAGATCTAGGCTATAATATGTGTTTGTGTGGCTGATATATTTAAAGCTACATAGGATTTCTAGACTTCATTTTCTGTGCTAAAGCTTATAAATTGTGTTTCCTGGTACATTCTAGCACTGTCTTCTTGGAGTCATTAACTTCTGAACTTATCTTCCCTGAAGCCCCAACATAAACACAGTGATGCTGCCATTGTACAAACCTGTCAAAATAAATAATAGGAGAAATCAAATTGATAATGAAATCTGTTATCTTTCATAACTTGTTCCCTATATATCAAAATGTTATTGACGGTGGAATCTCCCATCTTAATCTTTTGAAAAGTATTGTACCTCAATTTTGTACAGTATTTTAGATAAACTGTTAACTCAGAGATATGTCTCAGATAAACTTTAGATAAACTGTTAACACAGAGATATGTCTCACCTTTTTGTTATTTTGATAGTATAATGCAAATGTTGAATTAAAATAGCAATACTTTAATATGTAAGTTATGCAAAATATTAAAGTTCAAGGAACTGAGGATGCAGGACCAAATAATCTCCATGGACATGAGATATGCCAATGCTTATACAACTGCATACCAAATATCATTGACCTACCACTAGTGGTTCCCCATAAACTGACCTAATCACAAACTAATACATGTAAACTAAGCAAAGTTTCAAAGTCAATAGACCTTGACTGAGAGGGCGGGGCCAAATAATCTCCATGGTAATGAGATGTGCCAACGCTAATACAACTGCATACCAAATATCATTGACCTACCACTAGTGGTTCACCATGAACTAGACCTAATCACAAACTAATACATTGTTGACGGCCGCCGGAAACAGCATACCTATGTCTCGCTTTTTGACTCCGTCAAGGCGAGACAATGACCAATTGAATTTATCTTTTGAAACAAAAAAATTAGGTATTTCTTGACAAAGTATGGAAACGTAAAAAAAAATAAAATGCTCCGCAGGGCGCAGCTTGATACGACCGCAGAGGTCGAACCCTGAACAGTTGGGGCAAGTATGGACACAACATTCAAGCTTGATACAGCTCTGAATTTGGATTGTGATTAAAAATTTGACACAGCATAGGTTTCTGACACAGAATGAATGTGGTCTAAGAACTTAAAAATTTTAAATTGGACATTCACCTATTATGGTCCAATATCCAAAATCTAAATACATGGTTAGATTCAGCATATCAAAGAACCCCAAGAATTCAATTTTTGATGAAATCAAACAAAGTTTAATTTTGGACCCTTTTGATCTCAATGTGGACAAAGTTGATAACGGGGCCCATAAATCAAAAATCTAAATACATGGTTAGATTCAGCATATCAAAGAACCCCATATATTCAATTTTTGTTAAAATCAAACTAAGTTTAATTTTGGACCCTTTGGACCTTTATGTAGACCAATTTGAAAATGGAACCAAAAATTAAGAATCTAAATACACGGTTAGATTCGGCATATCAAAGAACCCCAATAATTCAATTTCTGATGAAATCAAACAAAGTTAAATTTTGGACCCTTTGGACCTCAATGTGGACCAATTTAAAAACGGGGCCCAAAATCCAAAAACTTAATACACGGTTATATTCAGCATATGAAAGAACCCCATATATTCAATTTTTGTTGAAATCAAACAAAGTTAAATTTTGGACCCCGATTTGGACCAACTTGAAAACTGGGCCCATAATCAAAAATCTAAATACATGGTTAGATTCAGCATATCAAAGAACCCCATATATTCAATTTTTGTTGAAATCAAATAAAGTTTAATTTTGGACCCCGATTTGGACCAACTTGAAAACTGGGCCCATAATCAAAAATCTAAATACATGGTTAGATTCAGCATATCAAAGAACCCCATATATTCAATTTTTTTGGAAATCAAACTAAGTTTAATTTTGGACCCTTTGGACCTTTATGTAGACCAATTTGAAAACGGAACCAAAAATTAAGAATCTAAATACACGGTTAGATTCGGCATATCACAGAACCCCAATAATTCAATTTCTGATGAAATCAAACAAAGTTAAATTTTGGACCCTTTGGACCTCAATGTGGACCAATTTAAAAACAGGGCCCAAAATCCAAAAACTTAATACATGGTTAGATTCAGCATATTAAAGAACCCCAAGAATTCAAGAATAAAACCCCATTGAAATTGATCAAGAAATAAGCAATTTATACAAAGTATATTCTTTTGCACAATACTGTGCAATTGAATATTTCTTGCTATTGCGCAATACTGTACAATTGACAATTTCTTGCTATTGCGCAATATTGTGCTATTGGATATTTCTTGCTATTGCGCAATACTGTGCAATTGAAGATTTCTTGCTATTGCGCAATACTGTGCAATTGAAGATTTCTTGCTATTGTGCAATACTGTGCAATTGAAAATTTCTTGCTATTGCACAATACTTATTGTATAATAATTTACACATCCTGTTTGGTGTGTATTTCCTACCATATCATTATTATTTGCTTTTAAATATAAATCAGAAATAACCAACTTAAAATGGAAAATTTTAAAAGAAAAAAAAAAGGAAAAAAAGAAAAAAAAAAGAAACCCCCCCCCCCCCCCCCAAATTTTTTGAACCCCCTTATGATTCATCACCCCCAAACTCAATCCCAGCCTTCCCTTTGTGGTATGGTATCTTGCAGTACAATTTCAGAGAGATCCATACAATTGAACACAAGTTATTGTCTGGAAACTAGAAAAATGCTTATTTTTGGCCCCTTTTTGGCCCCCAATTCCTAAACGTTTCGGGCAATTACCCCCAAACTCAATTCCAGCTTTCCCTTTGTGATATGGAACCTTGTAGTACAATTTAAGAAATATCCAAACACTTACACACAAGTTATTGTCATGAAACTAGAAAAATGCTTGTTATTTGCCCCTTTTTTGGCCCCTTATCTTAAAATTTTGAGGCAATTACCCCCAAAATCAATTACAGCCTTCCCTATGTGATATGGAACCTTGTGGTACAATGTCAGAGAGATCCATACACTTACACACAAGTTATTGTCTGGTATTACAAAAATGCTTATTTTTGGCCCCTTTTTGGCCCCTAATTCCTTAACTGTTGGTACCATAGCCCCCAAAATCAATCCCAACCTTCCTTTCATGGTATTGAACCTTATGGTAAAATTTCATGGAGATCCATTAACTTAAACTAAAGTTAGAGTGCGAAAACTAATGTGTCTTCGGACGACGCTGGACGACGCCGGACGACGACGACGACGACGACGACGACGACGACGACGACGCCAACGTCATACCAATATACGACCAAAAAATTTTCAATTTTTGCGGTCGTATAAAAATGGGGAATGTGTCCATGGGACACAGATTATGCCCCCCCCCCCCCCCCCTTGCATATAACGTTATATAGGAACATAACTCAAGAACGGTAAAAGTGGCACTACCCAAAATCGTACTTGATCTGAGTTTTGTGGTAATAAGCGTTGTGTATAAGTTTCATAACATTTGGTTGAGGCAAACTTAAGTTAGAGAACGGAAACGAAAAATTCAGCAATTTTTTTATTTGTAAAGGGGCATAACTCTAGAACAGTACAAGTGACACTACCAAAATTCAAACTAGATCTGAGCTTTGTGGTAATAAGCATTGTGAATAAGATTCATAACATTTGGTTGAGGCAAACTTAAGTTAGAGAACGGAAACGAAATATTCAGCAATTTTTTTCCATTTGTAAAGGGGCATATCTCTAGAAAGGTAAAAGTGACACCACCCAAATTCTAACTTGATCTGTGTTTTGTGGTAATAAGCTTTGTGTATAAGTTTCAGAACATTTGGTTCAGGCAAACTAAAGTTAGAGAACGGAAACCAATTTAGGGACGTAAGGATGGGCGTACAGACGGACAAGGGTAAAGCTTAATACCCCCTCTGCTACGACGGGAGTATAAAAATTGAGTACATATCTATAATTTCCACCCAATTTATCTCTAAAAGTAGCTGTGAAGGTATATCTTTTATGAAAATTTGAATTGATTAGGTAAAATTTAGACTGTATGCCTATTTTCGTAAAAAAAAATCACTGCAGGATCAAAACTGTATCTCTAGTATGCCAGGTCACTTCTATGCAAATTTGACAGGACTATGTTTAACACTATAAACCTGTGTTAAAAGGTCACAGGTCATTTTTAATGAGAAATAAGGATGCAAGGTCCATGAAGGTGTAACATATTTATTGATGTCTAAACAATGTAATCTGAGATTGTATGTAAATGTTAATTTCAAAGAAAAACAAATTCCTGTATCAGTAAAATATGGTAAGATGAAAAATATATTTTTAAAAAAGGTTTGACAAAGTTATTGATTTCTGAAAAACCACAGATTGTATCTTAATGTTAACCGCAAAAAAAAACAAATATAAAAATAAGAAGATGTGGTATGATTGCCAATGAGACAACTCTTCACAAGAGACCAAATGACACAGAAATTAACAACTATAGGTCACTGTACGGCCTTCAACAATGAGTAAAACCCATAGGCATAGTCAGGTAAAAAAAGGCCCCGAAAAGAAAAATGTAAAACAATTCAAACAAGAAAACTAACGGCCAAATTTATGTACAAAATAATGAATGAAAAACAAATGTGATATACAGAAACAAACGACAACCACTGAATTACAGGCTCCTGACTTGGGACAGGCACATACAGAATGTGACTGAGTTAAACTAATTTGTTGGCGCCATACCCTCCCCCTAACCTGAGACAGTGATGTAATGGCACAACATTAGAACAAACTATGCAAAACAATAAACGAAAAACAAATATGAGAAACAGCAAAAACTGACAACCACTCAATTACAGGCTCCTGACTTGGGACAGCAGAGATAGAATGTGGCTGGGTTAAACCAGTTTTAAGGCGCCAATCCCCTAACCTGGGACAGTGGTGTAACAGTACAACAAAAGAACAAACTATAACAAGAATGTGTCCATAGTACACGGATGCCCCACTCGCACTATCATTTTCTATGTTCAGTGGACCGTAAAAATTGGGGTCATAACTCTTAATTTGGCATTAAAATTAGAAAGAGCATATCAAAGGGAACATGTGTACTAAGTTTCAAGTTAATTGGACTTTAACTTCATCAAAAAGTACCTTGACCAAAAACTTTAACCTGAAGCTGGACAGACAGACGAACGGACGAACGAACTACTGACGGACTAACGAACGAACAAACGAACAAACGGACAGACGCACAGAACGTAAAACATAATGCCCCTCTACTATCATAGGTGGTGGATAAAAATCAGATGAAAAGGGCTCAACTCATCAGGATTCAGATTGATACAAAGCAGAAATACATCTAACAAAAGCACAGAGTGGACGTGGCGGGGTGCTTATACATCCACACAACAAAAAGACACGAAGGACAGATCTTGGAGTACTAGCAGTTACTGACAGCTAGGTCAAAGCCAAAAACAACTAATAAAATCAAAGCATCGTTGATGTTGTGATCCAGCCATATTCATAGCTAGTCTGATATTCTTTCTGACCATACTTTTTTCTAATTTGTTTTCTCTTTTCATTTCCAATCTTACTGTAAAATTTCTATGGTATTGTCCAAAGGTAGGGAATTTCGCAATATTGATGCAAATATAGATATATATACTGGTCTTTCAATTTTAGACTCTGTCAGATTTTATTTTTGACAAGAATGGAAAGGAAAATCGTCAAACAAGAAATCTATTTTTATTTGCATTAATAATGACAGGTTTAATAATTTCCAGAAAGAGGCCTTATAAATGCACTTTCTCAACAACAAAAATTAAAAAAAATAATAACTATTTTTTATCTAAATTGGTGTTCATTCTTCATTAAGAAAAAATACATTTCCTGTATTCAAATCTGAATGTACAAATACCTAATGCTGAGATATTTCCATTACTAATAGCAATGTAATGGGATATAAATGTAAAACAAACAAATAAATTTTATTGCAGAAAATGCTCATGTAAGAGTTATGCAATTTTGTTTAATATTTCAACCAAATTTCTGATAATTGTACATGTAACTAATTAATTAGAACTTGATTATTGACTGGTTAGTAAAGATAAAGGAATATATGGTCCCCCTGAGCTCCTGCATTTAAAACCATGTTGCAACATTGCAAAGTTTTAAGATATCCAGTTACCTTTAAAGAATAATGATAAGATCCGAAATAAGGTAATTTTAAACTGTGAAGGAAAACTTATGTATATATGATGAATTGTTCTAAACCCCAACCCTTTTACATAAGTCTTATAAAATAACCTTCTCATTATAAATTCTGATGTACGTATAGCACCTTTAACTAACAATTATAAGAAAGTGTAATTTAAGACCACTTAAATTTTAAATTCTTATTTGTAAATATATACAGTTCTTACTTAACTTGTTCTTACACCTCAGCACATTATGAATATTATTTTTAAAATTTTATGATGACAATCCTATGAATTAATTATAATATTAATTATTTAGTAATTGTTATTGCCTAAATTCAGTCATCTGTACATAATTAAATGTTTTCTTATGTTCTAAGGTGTATATAGTTGCTACAATTATACCCTATGGGTAGTGCTCCACAATTAATGGAGGAATATACAAGAAAATGAACTGAACTGACTTATGTCAAATGATAATGGCACTGATTTTACAGGTAAAATAAAGTTTGCTTGCATTTTTTATACATATTTTTTTCATTTTAAGTATTTTTTTTTTAAAAAAAAACAACATCAGATTAATCATTCAGCTAGGTAGCAAAATTACAGAATATTTTAATTTAGTGTAGATCAGAATAAATAATACATTTGTAGGTTTACTATTGAGGTCAAGAATGTGTGTTTTCAGTGAGGTGTGTAATAAATTGTGTCTATTTAATTATGTAACAGGTCATGAGATATTAACTGTTTTGAATTAAGCCTGGGGTTGTTTCTAATTAATGCTTATTTGAAAATAATGACAGTTAATAATCATTCTGACTCTTACTTGCCTATGGAAAAAATTGGAGTAATACCATTTCATAAAAGTGTGGGAATCAACTTAGATATATTAATACACATGTTGACCTACATTTCAAAGAACACTAATTTACACAAGCACAAGATACTAATATAATACTTTCAAAATTCTTATCAACTGATTCAATTGATGTACAAATACTTTTTCAAATTAATTCATAAATAGTAAATCATCATAAATTTTGATTTAGAAAGGAACTATATGCAAGTGTATATCTAAAATAAAGTCACTATTCGACCAATCTTTTCTTAATTTAAGGGCAAATAACATGTCAAAAGTTTGCAGTTGATGATTAAAATGGTGTAGAAAGTTTCTGCAAGTCATAAAAACACATAATTAGTTTCATGATATGTCTTTAACTTAGTATTCTGCACTATCTCCAAAACCAGAGTGATCGCATAGATCCAGCATGGCTGAATCAAAAATCATGCATCTAAGACTAAAATATCAATAAGTACACATCCAAAATCCAATGTATTTAGTGTAAAGACATCATTAACAGCCAGAGAACACGAATGTGTCCATAGTACACGGATACCCCACTCGCACTATCATTTTCTATGTTCAGTGGACAGTGAAATTGGGGTCAAAACTCTAATTTGGCATTATCATAGGGAACATGTGTACTACTGTGGATTCATTTTTATTCGTGGTATACCAATTTTCGTGGGTTTCGTGGGTCACACCGAACCTCGAATTTAAAAATTCAACGAAGAATAATACTGAGAAATGTGTATGGAGTCGGATGTTTATTTCGGGTTATGTTATGCAGTTCTAGTATAGTGTTGATTAGCGATAAACATTGTAACATAACACATGTTTTTATTGAAAGAAGATACAAGTATTTCGATTAAATCAATAATAAATATATCGAATATCAGTGATAATTTACTTTTTAAAATTGATTAAAACTGATCATGGAAAATAACTGCCAGTTGTTAATTACCGTGTCATAGTTTGGTTTACTGCTGATTAAAAATCAATAGGATTAAGTACGGGGATATATTGCCCGTAGGTAATATTGTTTATGACAGGAACATTTATTTTCACACCTTTTACTTATATGACTGTTTATTATATCGTGATTAGAGAAATGAACTTTCAATCATAGAGTTTTGAATGCCTTATAAAATTCCGACAAGAATTTATAAATTGTAGAACAAACAAATAACGAGTTGTCTCTGTCCATTATTGTAATAGAAGTTTTAATGAACACTTTAACCTAGAATGACCAAGCAAGGATTTTCAAAACTTTTTCAATGAATTCCTTCTTTTTTGTTTGTTTTATTATTGATCAAACCAAGGAGGTTATATGATCTCCTAAATCAAAAAGAAATCCACGAATTACGTATCTGATTTTTTTTTTTTTTTTTTTTTGTAATCAGCGATCCACGAATTTACGTATACCACGAAACGTCTTTTTTTATCTATCCACAAAAACTGATACCCACGAAAATAAATGAATCCACAGTAAGATTCAAGTTGATTAGACTTCAACTTCATCAAAAACTACCTTGACCAAAAACTTTAACCTGAAGCGGAACAGACGGATGGACGGACGAACGCACACACCAAAAAACATAATGCCCCTAGGTGCAGCATAAAAACATGACCTTGTGCAATGCCAAGATACAGGTAACAACAGATTGTAGCGCCATGAATGTGTATATGTATATATAATATTTAGTTTCATTTTAATTTACTGATAACAAAATCAATATTATTACCAACAAGAGTGCACACGCTGAAATGTCTCGCCTTCTTTACTAATCATTGATATTATGTTGATAGTCCTAAATATAAAGCTTTATTACAACTGTCACATAAACTTAACATTAACCAAGTAAACTAAATTCCCCATTTCCATTCTCAATTTTATTGACCAATGAACCATGAAAATGAGGTCAAGTTCAGATGAACCATGCTAGGCAGGCATGTACAGCTAACAATTCTTCCATACAACAAATATAGTTGACCTACTGCTTATAGTTTAAGAAAAACAGACCAAAACACAAAAACTTAACACTGAGCAATGAACCTTGAAAATGAGGTCAAGGTAAAAAAAACCTGCGTGACTGACTAAAAGATCATAAAATATTTCCATACACCAAATATAGTTGAACTATTGCACATAGTATTAGAAAAAAAGACCAAAACTCAAAAACTTAGCTTTGACCACTGAACCATGAAAATGAGGTCAAGGTCAGATGACACCTGCCAGCTAGACATGTACACCTTACAATCATTCCATACACCAAATATAGTAGACCTATTGCATACAGTATAAGAAAAACAGACCAAAACACAAAAACTTAACTATAAACCACTGAACCATGAAAATGAGGTCAAGGTCAGATGACACCTGCCAGTTGGACATGTACACCTTACAGTCCTTCCATACACCGAATATACTAGACCTATTGCTTATAGTATCTGAGATATGGACTTGACCACCAAAACTTAACCTTGTTCACTGATCCATGAAATGAGGTCGAGGTCGAGTGAAAACTGTCTGACGGGCATGAGGACCTTGCAAGGTACGCACATACCAAATATAGTTATCCTATTACTTATAATAAGAGAGAATTTAACATTACAAAAAATCTTAACTTTTTTTTCAAGTAGTCACTGAACTATGAAAATGAGGTCAAGGACATTGGACATGTGACTGACGGAAACTTCGTAACATGAGGCATCCATATACAAAGTATGAAGCATCCAGACCTTCCACCTTCTAAAATATAAAACTTTTAAGAAGTTAGCTAACGCTGCCGCCGCCGCCAGATCACTATCCCTATGTCGAGCTTTCTGCGACAAAAGTCGCAGGCTCGACAATAAAAACAATATTCAAAGATCTAATTATAGTGTTGAATTTGTAACCTTTTAGAATAAGTTTATCTAAAGGATCGATAAGGTTACCCAGATCGTCTCACAAGTTCATTTATCAGTAAAATATGCAAAAATGTTATGTACAAGGCAAGGCATTAAAATACAAAAACCTACCTGTAACACAATAATCATTAAAGCAGATATTCCTAAAGCTGTCATATTCTGTATAAACCAATAATCTATTTCTCCCTTACAGCCCTGTAAAATAAAATATCAATTGAAGATTTTATTCTAGTGATGTAAATGTATTTCATTTCCATTTTAATCATGACCCTTATTGTATCAACATTGTGGAAACAAGAGGCTGTCAGATTGACAGCAAATCGGATTTTCCTGTATGAAAATGATATTTGGAAATCTGGACCCCCCAAAACAGGATCAAGTGAAAAAAAATAAATGAATTTTTGTAGAAATCAGAAATAGAAAGACCAAAATCAATCTTGACCTATTTATCATAAGTGACATAATATTGGAATTTAAGAGAGTATATATGAGTACACACACATTTTTTCAGCGGGGGTTGGTAGGCAGAAATCATGAAGTCAATAATGAAAGAAATATGTTTATGAGATTATAAACTTATTCAATATGAAACCATCTAAGAATCTTGTGGTCTCTCCAATAACTTTCCAGAAACCCACTTTCAAACAGTTGTTGTCTTGTTTCTTCATAGTATCACAGGATTTCCATCTAAGCCTTTACAAGACATTGCATGGACAACGCTTTAAAGTATCACTTTATGCTATCTAAAGGTCTAGAACTCCATCTAAGCCTTTACAAGACATTGCATGGACCATGCTTACAGTATCACTTTATGCTATCTAAAGGTCTAGAACTCATCAACAATAAAAGCTAAAATCATGAAATTCAAACTTGACCTTCTTTTAGTCACAGAAAACAACATATCTAAATTTGAAAAGGATTCGTTAAAGCATTTTCAAGTTATTGCACGGACAAAGCTCTAAGTACCATTTTTCTCTACTTTAAGGTCTACAACTCAACAACATAAAAGCTAAAATCGGGAAAATCAAACTTGACCCTCATTTTGTCACAGAAAACAACATATCTAAATTTGAAAAGGATTCGTTAAAGCATTTTCAAGTTATTGCACGGACAAAGCTCTAAGTACCATTTTTCTCTACTTTAAGGTCTACAACTCAACAACATAAAAGCTAAAATCGGGAAAATCAAACTTGACCCTCATTTTGTCACAGGAAACAACATATCTAAATTTGAAAAGATTTTGTCAAAGCATTTTTAAGTTATTGCAAAGACACTATTTGGAAGCCGCCCACCCACTCTGCTGCCCAGCCCGCCGTCATCACCAAATTAATAACCGATATTTTCCTTCGGAAATTCAATTAAAAATCAAATTCAGATGAATATAATTTTAATTTTGAAATTCCCCAAAAAAAAAACATTTTCTAAGTCTAGTGTCATTTATGTCTGATGACAAATGAATATTTTGCATCTTTAACTCATTTAAACCACACAATTTTCTTTTGCATCAAATGTTTACCCCATACCCAAGTTCAGGGTTTCAGCTAGGATTTTGAGGGCTTTAGTCACTTTTGCGTGAGATGAATATCAACCTTATTTTGGGTAACAGCAAGGGACCAAAGATATGTATTACTAGCTATACATCTTTGAAGGACTTAGGCATGTTTGGCAGTTATTGCATAATTTGATATATGTGGTGCTTAAATATATGAAGATTATAATAAGGATCAAAATCAAAATCAAAATTTCACTTCAGTTATTGTCAGGGGACATTCCTGATTAACAAAAGTTGGGTTCCTTTTTTTTTTAAACAAGGAGTCACAGCATAAATGAACCTGTAACAATTATTTCACTGCATAACCATTATTCCTGTAAAAACGGCTTAATCGATATTTGGAATTCCTTTCTATAAACTTGGAACCAAGGATTTGTACAATTCCTTGTTACAACGATTCTAATGACTGTATATTGTAAATTAATCAAGAATAGATCACGCTTACTTTTGATTTTTGAACGAAATGAAAATGGGAAGTTACATGAGGATAATAAATTCAGAATGATTCCGGATTCATCTACGGATTGGTTCATGTTTAAGGGATCATAGATTTATTCTTACGAGGAAGCTCCGAGCATGCTCGGAGGATGCTCAGAGCTTTTTAAGTAGGCTCGTCTCAGCAGTTAATGTGACAATAATTATCATGATCCATTAAGATGTCAATCAAATCTACACCACTTCTATGATAAGGAAAGTAGAGCATTATAGAGGAAGCTCCATTAACACCTGTGTAAACATCTGGTCTATTCAAATACATTTTGCATGAAATTTTTTAAAACTATAAAATAGATTAGAAATTCTTCAACAGTGCTGTGTAATGCTTGGAAAGAAAGCTCAAGTCTCCACAAAAAGTAAAAGTCATTTAAATATTTTCTTATTATATTTAATAATCATTCCTTTTTTTATAATAAAAAAATTCTCAAATTTTATAATTAGATGATATGATTTAAAAATAGTTTATATTATATAATATGCTACATAAAAATTATCAAGACACAAACAACAGTCAGGTGGTGATACTAAACAAGTAATTTTTTTTTGTCACTTTTATAAGTATTTTTTGTTTTTAAAAATTGTTTAATAAAATTAACTCAATAGTTATTTTAAATGTCAAATAAAGCATGGACTAAATGTAGTTTTCAAGAATTTTTATATCATTTCATTAAATAAAATTAAGTATTTATCCAATTTGAGATGAGTATAGAGAGGTTACTTTAAAAAATAATGACAAAAATATTACTTTAATAAATTATTTTATACAACTTCAAAAAACTTAGTACTTACAATTATTTAAGGAATATATGTAATTGCTTGTGATTAAGATTCAAATTATAAATAACTTCAAGTCTTAATTAAAGGTTCCATATCTAGTTATAAGTGTCCATCTCTAAGATTTTAAGGGGAAATGATATTTTAATAGCCCCAAGAGGCCAATCTTTGGCCAAGAAGTGTGGCATCAGAAAAGCAATTAGTGCTTGTTGAGGATTTAAATAGTTTTACCAGTATATTTCATAGGGAAAATAACCAGATGTCTGTGAAAATTTGTTAAAGCTAGTAAAACCTGTATGAATGGACACCTATAAAAATAATATTAACATAAGTTACTTATTCATGATATAGAAGTAATATTTGAAACAGCCTCGTTTTCAACATAACTTGTATAGGTAATTTTGAAAATTACTTGTTTAAATAATGCCCCTAACTAAACAATGGTAATATGTTTTTTTAAATAGCAAACTAAGTTCTTTTATAGAAAATTATGGCTACTTAAGAAAAGTTGTAATTCATTAGTGGAAGCCTGGTTTGAGGGGGTAATACCACCATTATTTTCCCTCTTGTACGTCTCTCTTTACTTGGCATTTTTTTTTTAATTGTGGAGATTTAGCTTTTGTTTTAAATAAAGAAATACTTGGCATGAGTATTATTATTTTCCCCCTATAAGTCTTTGTTTAATTGTCATGATTGTTATATTTCAAAAAAAATGTGCAGAATTTATCTATGTTTTAAATAAAGAAATACTTGACATAAAGTTTTATCCTGTCCTGTACTACAGTGAAAATATAGCATAACTTTTTAATGCATATAAGAAAGTAAACATCACCAGAAGTTAACCAATCAAATTCTCTCCTCCTTTTTTCCCTGTAGAATATAGTATATTTTTATTGCTTTGAAACACCCAAGATACATGTTTACGACTCAAAAAAACTTTTCTGCAATGAAATGGAGGGTTAATTCCAAACAACTGTCAAATTAAATGGAATATAAAAAAAGATCAACCCTTTTTCACATGAAACTGAATGTACTATGTTTTGGTAGTATGGTTATAAATCAATAACCATAGTTTGTGTCTTTGATAACTTTTATATTTCATTTTATATAGTATAAATTTAAAATATATTTATATTTTAAATATAAAATTTGAGTGTTTTTTTGTATCATGTGTATTGAAAAAGAATGATAATTATTAAGAAAATGTTTTAAAATCATTTTTTTCTGTGAAAACTTGATACCAAGCATTGTACAGTAATATTGAAGAATTTCTCATCTATTTTATAGTTTTGTAAAATTAATGCAAGATTTGTTTGAATAGATGTTTACACAGGTGTTAATGGAGCTTCCTCTATAATGCTCTACTTTCCTTATTATTCAAGTGCTATAGATTTGATTGACATCTTAATGGATCGTGATAATTATTGTCACATAAACTGCTGAGAAGAGCCTACTTAAAAAGCTCCGAGCATCCTCCGAGGATGCTCAGAGCTTCCTCCGAGGATGCTCAGAGCTTCCTCCTAAGAATAAATCTATGATCCCTAACAAAAGGCAGGAAAATTTTCATATTTCTAAATCAAGTTGCTTACTTAGTGAGAAATATATTTTTTTCCCTCGTTTATTTTGATACATGTTGTACCAAATGATTTCCTATTTTACGTTTTAATGTCTAGTTTATATATTAAGAATACCTTTCGCATGCGCAGTACATAGTAAAGGAAGTACATGTTTGACTCATGGAAATATTTATGAATGTTTTGAATAAAATTCTATCTCTTTAATCGAAATTGTTGAAAGTTTTTGATAAAAAATTAAATAAAATAAATGTGGATAGTGTTTTATAACATTTGGTTGAGACAAACTAAAGTTAGAGAACGGAAACGAAAAATTCAGCAATTTTATGTTTATAGAGGGACATAACTTAAGAATGGTAAAAGTGTCGCCACCAAATTTCGTACTTAATCTGTATTATGAAGTTGTTTCAACTATAATCATGGACAAAGGAAGATAACTCCAATTTTAAAAATTACTTGATATTTAGAAGAAAATAAAAATTTTGCAATTTTTCCATTTATAAAGGGGCATAACTCTAGAATGGTTAAAGTGACGCCACCAAAATTCAAACTTGATTTGTGTTTTGTGGTAATAAGCATTGTGTATAAGTTTCATAACATTTGGTTGAGGCAAACTTAAGTTAGAGAAAGGAAACTAAGAATTTTGCAATTGTTCCATTTATAAAGGGGCATAACTCTAGAACAGTTAAAGTGACGCTACCAAAATTCGAACTTGATCTGTGTTTTGTGATCATAAGCATTGTGTATAAGTTTCATAACATTTGGTTGAGGCAAACTTAAGTTAGAGAAAGGAAACTAAAAGTTTTGCAATTTTTCCATTTATAAAGGGGCATAACTCTAGAATGGTTAAAGTGATGCCACCAAAATTCAAACTTGATTTGTGTTTTGTGGTAATAAGCATTGTGTATAAGTTTCATAACATTTGGTTGAGGCAAACTTAAGTTAGAGAAAGGGAAACTAAAAATTTTGCAATTGTTCCATTTATAAAGGGGCATAACTCTAGAACAGTTAAAGTGACGCTACCAAAATTCGAACTTGATCTGTGTTTTGTGATCATTAGCATTGTGTATAAGTTTCATAACATTTGGTTGAGGCAAACTTAAGTTAGAGAAAGGAAACTAAAAATTTTGCAATTGTTCCATTTATAAAGGGGCATAACTCTAGAACAGTTAAAGTGACACTACCAAAATTCGAACTTGATCTGTGTTTTGTGATCATAAGCATTGTGTATAAGTTTCATAACATTTGGTTGAGGCAAACTTAAGTTAGAGAAAGGAAACTAAAAATTTTGCAATTGTTCCATTTATAAAGGGACATAACTCTAGAACAGTTAAAGTGACACTACCAAAATTCGAACTTGATCTGTGTTTTGTGATCATAAGCATTGTGTATAAGTTTCATAACATTTGGTTGAGGCAAACTTAAGTTAGAGAAAGGAAACTAAAAATTTTGCAATTTTTCCATTTATAAAGGGACATAACTCTAGAACGGTTAAAGTGACGCCACCAAAATTCAAACTAGATCTGTGTTTTGTGGTAATAAGCATTGTGTATAAGTTTCATAATATTTGGTTGAGGCAAACTCAAGTTAGAGAACGGAAACCAATTTTGGGACGTACGTACAGACGGACAAGGGTAAAACTTAATGCCCCCCGCGGCATAAAAATACTAGAGAATTCGTTCATATGACGAAACTACTACAAACGAACTGCAAATTGTGATCATTAAGAGAAATATTGAAATTAAAATGTGAACTGTCCACGGGATAAAAAATTTTGTTCAAATGACAAAACTACGATAAACGAACTGCAAATTGTGGTTGTTTGAGAAAAATTGAAATGCCGACTGACCAATTTTACCTTGAAAATAATTATGATGGTCAATAATTTATGAGGTTTATTAATTAACGGATTATATTTAGTGACCCATCTGATGGCGATAAGCAGATTACCTGTAATCACAACTTATATATCGGATATGTTCCTTATGTCATAACTACAATACCCTTTCCTTTTCACAAATGTGACCTACCGAATAAGCCTATCTACCGGATTTGTGATAACATAAGCAACACGATGGGTGCCACATTTGGAGCAGGATCTGCTTACCCTTCCGGAGCACCTGAGATCACCCCCAGTTTTTGGTGGGGTTCGTGTTGCTTAGTCTTTAGTTTTCTATGTTGTGTCATCTGTACTATTATTTGTCTGTTTGTCTTTTTATTTTTGGCCATGGCATTGTCAGTTTGTTTTCGATCTATGAGTTTGACTGTCCCTCTGGTATCTTTCGTCCCTCTTTTATAACACCTGTTGTAAACGATAATTAGATGAGGGTCATAAACATGTCAAAAACATGAAGATAGTTAGAATTCTGAATTATAGTATTTTCATGTGAAAATATTTTTACACTTTTCAAATTTAAGTGACGAAATTGATTTGAAAAACTTTCGTCATTTTGAAAACATTTTCATCATTTTCGACAAGCGTTAGCAAAATCACTGCCCCAGTTACTTCCATATCTTATCATACAGAGACTATTAACAATAAGTTGGATTTAGTGGATACATAATAATCCTTAGGTATCCATCAGAAAATTTATTGAATTTTTGACATTTCTGTAATATGATACTGGTATATTTTGGTAGAAGGTCTATGAATTCACATATATCATATAATAACAGAAATGTAAAAAAATTCAATAAATTTTCTGATTGATACCTAAGGATTATTCTATATGCACTAAATTCAACTTATTGTAAGAAATATCTGACTAAATCTAGAAATAACTTAATTCTACATGTATCTGTATGTGTTAGATAGATTTGTGGTGTTTCTCAGTTAGACCACAGCACCACACAGCAGTAGTAGATTTACCACACTTCTCTACTTTCCCAATGGAACCACAAAGCAGTAGTAGATTTACCACACTTCTCTACTTTCCCAATGGAACCACGAAGCAGTAGTAGATTTACCACACTTCTCTACTTTCCCAATGGAACCACAAAGCAATAGTAGATTTACCACACTTCTCTACTTTCCCAATGGAACCACACAGCAGTAGTAGATTTCCCACACTCCTCCTCTACTTACCCTATGGAACCACACAGCAGTAGTAGATTTACCACACTCCTCCTCTACTTACCCTACGGAACCACACAGCAGTAGTAGATTTACCACACTCCTCCTCTACTTACCCTACGGCACCACACAGCAGTAGTAGATTTACCACACTTCTCTACTTTCCCAATGGAACCACACAGCAGTAGTAGATTTACCACACTCCTACTCTACTTACCCTACGGAACCACACAGCAGTAGTAGATTTACCACACTCCTCCTCTACTTACCCTACGGCACCACACAGCAGTAGTAGATTTACCACACTTCTCTACTTTCCCAATGGAACCACACAGCAGTAGTAGATTTACCACACTTCTCTACTTTCCCAATGGAACCACAAAGCAGTAGTAGATTTACCACACTCCTCCTCTACTTACCCTATGGAACCACACAGCAGTAGTAGATTTACCACACTCCTACTCTACTTACCCTACGGAACCACACAGCAGTAGTAGATTTCCCACACTCCTCCTCTACCTTCCCAATGGAACCACAAAGCAGTAGTAGATTTCCCACACTTCTCTACTTTCCCAATGGAACCACAAAGCAGTAGTAGATTTACCACACTTCTCTACTTTCCCAATGGAACCACACAGCAGTAGTAGATTTACCACACTTCTCTACTTTCCCAATGGAACCACAAAGCAGTAGTAGATTTACCACACTCCTCCTCTACTTACCCTATGGAACCACACAGCAGTAGTAGATTTACCACACTCCTACTCTACTTACCCTACGGAACCACACAGCAGTAGTAGATTTACCACACTTCTCTACTTACCCTACGGAACCACACAGCAGTAGTAGATTTACCACACTCCTCCTCTACTTACCCTACTGAACCACACAGCAGTAGTAGATTTACCACACTCCTCCTCTACTTACCCTACGGCACCACACAGCAGTAGTAGATTTACCACACTTCTCTACTTTCCCAATGGAACCACACAGCAATAGTAGATTTACCACACTCCTACTCTACTTACCCTACGGAACCACACAGCAGTAGTAGATTTACCACACTCCTCCTCTACTTACCCTTCTGAACCACACAGCAGTAGTAGATTTACCACACTCCTCCTCTACTTACCCTACGGCACCACACAGCAGTAGTAGATTTCCCAGACTCCTCCTCTACTTACCCTACGGAACCACACAGCAGTAGTAGATTTACCACACTCCTCCTCTACTTACCCTACGGAACCACACAGCAGTAGTAGATTTCCCACACTCCTCCTCTTCATGTAAACAACATGAATCAGTAACATAACTGTTCCCTGGCCATGCTGGATGGTTAAACCAGTCTGTGTAATTGTTTATACCACAACATTTCAGCTGCAAATATAAAATCACAAATATATACGACCATCAAAAGTGAGAGAATTTGTGGTGTAGAGGTAAATTATTGACAACTTACTCAATATAGAGCGGTAATAGAGACAGATTGACTGATATATTTCTTTTCGTTTGACTATAGGGATTTCCCTGTGTTGAATATAGTTATATATATTCAAACTCGTTAGAGTAGTTGTAAAATGGGTTATTGTTATTTTGGATTTAGATATATTGGTTATATATGCACCTGAAATCCTTTGGCGGTTTAAAGGGTGGGGTTCCTTTATATTATATAAAGAAATTGTTGAGGTGTCAGTTCATCGAAGGTGCTCACAGTAACTACAACGTACAGTTTACCGTTTATTGTCATATATATGAATATGGATCATATAGAGTTTGAGTTCATTTATATATAATAATGTGTTGGACAATTTTCTTGTATGCATATATATATGTCAATTTGAATATTGTTGTTCATCTATATTATAATATTATGTTATTAAACATTGTTTGCCAGAGAAAAGAACAAATTACTGCGAGCAACCAAACCTATATTAGAGTTTTGTCTTATTTATACGAAGGAAAGTAGTAAAGAAATCCTTTAAATTCGGACGAAAAGGTGAGGGAGAATTTAAGGCCAATTATATGTCCACAGTTAAAAAAAAAAAAAAAAACTAGACAAGAGTGGACACTGTGAAATGCCTTGCCTGATTTACTTATCATGATAGAACTTATGATGAAGGTCTTATATTAAGGTTTCCTCTACAAGTATAACATAAACTTAACATGATCAATGATCAATTTAAATGAGGTCGATTTCAAATGAACCCTGCAAGACAGATATGTACACCTTACACGTGATAAACGAATTATCAGATGTTTTTATTAAAATAATAAGACTTACATCTTGTTGTATGTAATCTATAACATTGTCTACACCTTCCCTCTTGTTTGATTGGATGTCAGGATTATGACTAAACTCTAAACTATACATTAATTCTTCCTTCACAAAAGACTGGAGCTGTAAATACAAACATATCTCGATCATATATTAACTCTATATGCTCTAAACCATTCATTCAAAACTTATTTCTATGACTGAAAATAGTGAGAATTGGTAAAGGTCTCTTAAAGAAAATAGTGAGAATTGGTAAAGGTCTCTTAAAGAAAATAGTGAAAATTGGTAAAGATCTCTTAAAGAAAATGGTGAGAATTGGTAAAGGTCTCTTAAAGAAAATAGTGAGAATTGGTAAAGATCTCTTAAAGAAAATAGTGAGAATTGGTAAAGGTCTCTTAAAGAAAATAGTGAGAATTGGTAAAGATCTCTTAAAGAAAATAGTGAGAATTGGTAAAGGTCTCTTAAAGAAAAAATTCTTCCTCTTAAACATATTAAGCTGATTCTTTTAAAAATGTGACTACCAGGACCTGGTTGTTCATCTCTTGGTTAAATTTTAACCAAGGGTTCAATATTATAACCCTTGGTTAAAATTTAACCATAGGTTATTTTCTGTTGTTCATCCTGTGGTTAAATTTTACCCTTTGTTAAATCCTTGGTTAAATGATTCAGATTTAACCTTGTTTCGGACCTCTGTTAAAATTTTAACCAAGGAATAGTTTTGTCTAAAAGTACGATTCTCTGTTTATAAAAAGATTAGAAAGGTCACTAAACGTTTGATACAACATGTTCTTCTTTTTCTACAACCATTAATTGTCAAAAACTGATGAAACCTGATTAATTACGTTTTACAGTCCTTCCCCCTTTTTTGCATCGAGGTTTAAGTCTATCTATCATACATTTTCAAATCGACATTTTTTTTACCCTGTATTCTTCTATGTTAATAAACAAATTTATGCAGCAAAATTAAACATTTTTAGTAAGATAATGTATTTATCTAGATAATCAAATAATTTAGGATCAACACGTCTTTTCAAACAAAAGGTGCTCTCTGTCACGTTCGCGTTGTTGTTGTTCTAATTAATGAACTTAGACGCTGAAAAACGTATTGTTTTTGATAAGAAATCATATTTATTGACCAAACAGTTTTTCTAGGACCAGAAAAAAGTGTTCATAATTCTTATTTTGATAAAAAATGAACATTCAATGAAAATTGAACCATGGGTTACGTAACCAAGGGTTAAAAAGAAGTTGAACAAAGGAATTTTAACCCTTGGTTACGTAACCCTCAGTTAAAAGGTTTAACCCTGGGTTATATCTAACCAAGGATTATATTTAACCAAGAGATGAACAACTGGGTCCAGTACTGATAAAGAAAATTAACATTTGGATACTGTCTTTAAAATACAAATCTTATATTACAGTGTGTTGTTAATACTACATTATGGGTATATGTTCCGAGCCTTTTCTTGAGGGAGCCTTATGTAGATATGGTCTTCCTGGACTTACTTTACTTGGATGAAAGCCATTGAGTTTCTCCAAAGTGAGTTAATAAGAACTTACATGTACTGCTTATAAATTAACGGTTGTAAGTGTTGGAAATTTTGATTGATATTACAATACTGGAATAGTTAGTTTTCTGTTGAAGTGGGCTAGCTATTCTGTCTGTAAATGTTGTACATTACCTGGGATTTCTTTGAGAATCCTATAGCAATAATTGTTATTTCTGCAGCAAATACCACTATATTAAACACAAAATACTGAAAATAAAATAGGAATGTATGTTAAGTTGTGTTTGAATGAAAACACATTTATTTTTCTTCTAATTATATTAACACACGAACACATCTACTAGAATAGTAAATTATATTAACCATTAAGCAAAAGACTCTCTTAGAAATGAAGTATATGTCAGTAGCTTAAACACATTCTTGAGGGACCATTTTTTGTTTGTTTATGCAATATCTACATTACATTGTACCTAGCTACTACAAGTTCCAAGAGTGATGAATTCAAAAATAGTGTGACAGTGTGAGTTCCAGCTCTTTCATTAAAGCTGTAGGGTGATTTCTAGCTGTTCATTTCCACTTCAATTCTAGTTGCCTACTGGCTAATATGTTTCTCAAATATCGTATCATTCATAGCATGAAAGAACTGGATATTTATTTGTACCATTTTTGTCGAGCCTCGACTTTTGTCGAAAAAGCGAGACATAGCGATCCTACATTCCGTCGGCATCGTCGTCATTTGCGGCGGCGTCCACAAATATTCACTCTGTGGTTAAAGTTTTTGAAATTTTAATAACTTTCTTAAACTATCCTGGATTTCTACCAAACTTGGACAGAAGCTTGTTTATGATCATAAGATTATATTCAAAAGTAAATTTTGTAAAAAAAAAATTCCATTTTTTCTGTATTTTACTGATAAATGGACTTAGTTTTTCTGCCAGGAAACATTACATTCACTCTGTGGTTAAAGTTTTTGAAATTTTAATAACTTTCTTAAACTATCTTGGATTTCTACTAAACTTGGAAAGAAGCTTGTTTATGATCATAAGATTATATTCAAAAGCAAATTTTGTAAAAAAAATTCCATTTTTTCCGTATTTTACTTATAAATGGACTTAGTTTTTCTGCCAGTTAACATTACATTCACTCAGTGGTTAAAGTTTTTAAAATTTTAACAACTTTCTTAAACTATCCTGGATTTGTACCACACTTGGACAGAAGCTTGTTTATGATCAAAAGCTAGTATCTAGAAGGAAATTTTGATAAAATATTGTTCCATTTTTTACTTATAAATGGACTTAGTTTTTCTTCCAGTCAACATTACATACAGTCTGCAGTTTAAATTTTTAAAACATTTATTAGATTCATAAATTATCCTGGATTTTTACCAAACTTGGACAGAAGCTACTTACAATCAAAAGATAGTATAGAGAGGAATATTTTTATTTTTTTTCCCTTATTTTTGTTGAGCCTGTGTTTAACAGCAAAAGTAGGCGAGACACTGGGTTCCGCGGAACCCTTACGAATTTTTTATTTGATTAAGCTTTCCAAGATTTAGTTGTAAACAGGTTCTGAATTGAAATGTCTTTTTGATGCAACTTAATCATCTGAAAAGACTTATAACAAGAAGCAATTTGTTTAGTTTTTTTAACAGGCACATCCACTATTCAGACACTTTGGTTGTAGTTAGATCTAATTAAATTTTTTGTCCTACTGTTGAATGTCTACTGCTCCCATGATGAAACTGTGCTAAAAGTAAATACTGAATTACCTGAAGAGTGACTGAAAAATGAAAATACAGATCTATTTTCTAAAATTATCACAATTAAATTTTATGAAAATTGCTTAAAATCTTAGTAAGACTCAACCTTTCTATGTTCAAAAATTTTGAGCCCCAATTCAGATCAACATAACATTTATATAATAATTATTTAACAAGTTTCTGAACCGAGTTCTGGATATTTTCAGACTGTATAGCTATTTCAGAATTCCATAATACTGATTACATCCTAGTCCTTTTGTCTCTGGTGGATAGTTGTTTCATTGGCAATCAAACCACATCCCTGACCATATCTCTGGTGGATAGTAGTCTCATTGGCAATCATACCACATCCCTGACCATATCTCTGGTGGATAGTAGTCTCATTGGCAATCAAACCACATCCCTGGCCATATCTCTGGTGGATAGTTGTCTCATTGGCAATCAAACCAAATCCCTGACCATAACTCTGGTGGATAGTTGTCTCAATGGCAATCATACCACATCCCTGACCATATCTCTGGTAGATAGTTGTCTCATTAGCAATCAAACCACATCCCTGGCCATATCTCTGGTGGATAGTTGTCTCATTGTCAATCAAACCACATCCCTGACCATATCTCTGGTGGATAGTTGTCTCATTGGAAATCATACCACATCCCTGACCATATCTCTGGTGGATAGTTGTCTCATTGGCAATCATACCACATCCCTGACCATAACTCTGGTGGATAGTTGTCTCAATGGCAATCATACCACATCTCCTTATTCTAACTCTGGTGGAAATTTGTCTCAATGGCAATCATACCAAATCCCTGACCATATCTCTGGTGGATAGTTGTCTCATTGGCAATCATACCACATCTCCTTATTCTAACTCTGATGGATAGTTGTCTCATTAGCAATCATACCACATCCCTGACCATATCTCTGGTGGATAGTTGTCTCATTGGCAATCATACCACATCCCTGACCATAACTCTGGTGGATAGTTGTCTCAATGGCAATCATACCACATCTCCTTATTCTAACTCTGGTGGATAGTTGTCTCAATGGCAATCATACCAAATCCCTGACCATATCTCTGGTGGATAGTTGTCTCATTGGCAATCATACCACATCTCCTTATTCTAACTCTGATGGATAGTTGTCTCATTGGCAATCATACCACATCTCCTTATTCCAACTCTGATGGATAGTTGTCTCATTAGCAATCAAACCACATCTCCTTATTCTAACTCTGGTGGATAGTTGTCTCAATGGCAATCATACCAAATCCCTGACCATATCTCTGGTGGATAGTTGTCTCATTGGCAATCATACCACATCTCCTTATTCTAACTCTGATGGATAGTTGTCTCATTAGCAATCATACCACATCCCTGACCATATCTCTGGTGGATAGTTGTCTCATTGGCAATCATACCACATCCCTGACCATATCTCTGGTGGATAGTTGTCTCATTGGCAATCAAACCACATCTCCTTATTCTAACTCTGATGGATAGTTGTCTCATTCAGTCATTGGCAATCATACCACATCTCCTTATTCCAACTCTGATGGATAGTTGTCTCATTAGCAATCAAACCACATCTCCTTATTCTAACTCTGGTGGATAGTTGTCTCATTGGCAATCAAACCACATCCCTGACCATATCTCTGGTAGATAGTTGTCTCATTGGCAATCATACCACATCCCTGACCATATCTCTGGTAGATAGTTGTCTCATTGGCAATCATACCACATCCCTGACCATATCTCTGGTGGATAGTTGTCTCATTGGCAATCATACCACATCCCTGACCATATCTCTGGTAGATAGTTGTCTCATTGGCAATCATACCACATCCCTGACCATATCTCTGGTGGATAGTTGTCTCATTGGCAATCAAACCACATCTCCTTATTCTAACTCTGGTGGATAGTTGTCTCATTGGCAATCAAACCACATCCCTGACCATATATCTGGTAGATAGTTGTCTCATTGGCAATCATACCAAATCCCTGACCATATCTCTGGTGGATAGTTGTCTCATTGGCAATCAAACCACATCTCCTTATTCTAACTCTGATGGATAGTTGTCTCATTAGCAATCAAACCACATCTCCTTATTTTCATATTTTTATACAAGAGAAAACATGTTAACAGAAACTGAAATATAAAAACAACCCATTCAACTGAGTTAATAAAGACCCATTAAACTGAGTTGATAAAGACTCATTAATCAATACCATACAATAACACTGAAAATACTTAAAAACATGTACATTATCAGAATTATGTACAAAATACAAGATACTCATTTATATCAGGTAGCTGACTTTACGGTATGGGTTTTTTTCATGTTTGAAGGCCCTACAGTTACCTATAATTGCTTACACCCACTTCATTTGAACTTTGGTAAATAGTTGTCTAATTGGCAATCATACCACATCTCCTCATTTTTACATCTAAAGGTCAACATATAGTATTAAACAAAAGACAAGTCTCTACACAATATAAACACCACAAGTCTAGTAAGAAAAGTGAATAAGTTTAACAGAGACTATAAAATATCTGCCATCAATACCAATTCCCCATCAGACCAAACCTAAATATATAATCACAGTATAATTCTGCACGATTTTTAATAAGTATACCAAAGGTAATTATTTTTAATAATAAAGAAAATTTACTTACTACAACCATACAAAGACGACTCTCCATAATACCACCAACTAGGCCACAAAATCCTATAATAAGTGCTACAACACCTGTTATACATATTATTGCTGTGGCACCAAACACATAGTGGCTGGGCAGCAGATTTATGTAGGGACCTGTGTTAACCTGCATCCATATACCAACAGAAAATAGCCCACAACCAATTAACTGTAAATAGTCATAATTATCTCATCATATCGATCAAAATTATTCAAACTAAACATTAATTAAAAAAGTCAATATAAAATTTCCATTCTGATATTTGGTTAGAATCAAAATTAAACAACACTGCTATATTTCCTAATAATTATTTGTATCACATGTATTTCATCCAGGATTCTCACTAGAGATTTTTTGAGGTGAGTTCAGGGACTCGACATTTTTGGCAATGGTGAGTTCAACAGAGAGAAGATGAAATTTTACTGCTAAATAATTCAACATTTCAGTCTCCAAAATAGAGCATGGAAATGGCATCAGATTTAGATTATTTTAAAAACACTTGTTATAAAAGGATGATATATGTGCTCAGTTAATACAACATTTTACAATTTTGATGCATCTTTGGACTCACCAAAATGATGAGTCCACACAGATTTTCATAAGTCCCGCACCTTCGGTCATAAAACTTTACTCAGTACTCAAGAGTACAAAATTTGTGCTCGAAACACCAAATCCGATAATTTGATTGGTTGATTTCTGAGTCCGATAATCGTCCTCCAAAGTTTTATGACCGCAAGGCCAGGACTCATGGACTCGCCTTATCATGCTTATCGAGAACCCTGTTCATCCAAATCTTGTATTATCTTACAATTTCTAGGTTTTACTAATCTTGCTTAATTAAGGCTAAACCCTATATATAACTGAACCTGAAGAACACATAAGAACATTGAAGATAATAAATAGGTCCTTTAATTAATATTAAATCCTGTCTTATTAGAATGTTGAAAATAATAAATAATGTACTTTAAAAATTATGACCTACAATGTACCATTATAAGAACATTTAACTTTTAAGATAATAAATAGGTACTTTAAATCAGACCTACCTATATAAAGACATTGAAGATGATAAATATGTACTTTAATGAAGACCTACCCATATAAGTGCATTGAAGATAATAAATATGTACTTTAAAGTACAAAATGCTGAAGTTTTCATACTCCCCATATCTCTAGTGATGTATCATATCTGTATTGAATCTGAAAACAATATACCATGATATATCATTAAACATGTTAAACATTATATAGTGTAAATATTTTACATTTGATCAGATTTATGTGTAAATATTTTACATTTGATCAGATTTATGTGTAAATATTTTACATTTAATCAGATTTATGTGTAAATATTTTACATTTAATCAGATTTATGTGTAAATATTTTACATTTAATCAGATTTATGTGTAAATATTTTACATTTAATCAGATTTATGTGTAAATAAATCAGGTTTTCTTCAAGTAGAAAGGTACAATTTTGCTAAAAAATATTAAAAAATACCAGGTAAGCAATAAAGTGCATGGAATGGAATAATTTATAGACATGATAGATAAAAATTTCTTTGGAATTACGATCAATCTGACATTGTTGCACAAAAACCTCATATTAGATATTGATTTACATGAATGAAAAAAAAATATAGTCAATATTTTTATGGGAAACCAAAAATCTAAATCTGTTACTTATGAACATGGTGAATGAAGCATACTATATGGTTTATAAGTAATAATTCTGCCTCAAGTTTTTATTTATTCAAAAGTTAACAATAGTTTTAAATACATACATGCAATGCTTTTGTGAGAAAAAGCCCTAGAGAGCTGTGAGGGTAGGTAACAAGACATTTTGACACTCTGTAGTGTTCAAAAGACAATTCAGCACTGTTCGAACATTTAAGAAATTTGGGGACCAAGCTTATTTGGCCCCTCATTTTTTTTCTATAAAGTTGCTTTTAAAGTCATACATGTATGAAACAAGTTTCTTGTAATTTTACTGTTATCAAAATTAGTGAACCAATGCATGCAAATATACTAAACTAAGTCCTCTATCCAAGTTTTTTTTATATTTGTTATTAATCTATAACGTATTACCTACAAACTATATTTCATTCATTGATTGTTGATCGCAAGCTAATAAACTTTTGAGTTTGTTGCCTAAAAATGACGTAAGGCATTGATATTAAACAATTAACAAAGAGCATACATGTATGTAGCTTGTGACAAATAAGTGAATTGTTAGAGCCATGATATTTATGTTTCATCTTTTCCATGCATTCCAACTTGTTAAACTTTCCCTTAACAGTGACAGTTGTCAAATGATTTGTTGAATTGAATTTGTTCTTTCAGAATTAGTTATTAACGAGGATTTATTGAATCTGGAGTCATTTTGAATTCTGGAAAATAAATAACAAATGTACGATGAAAACTAACCCAACTAAATAGAATTAGCCTAGTGCACATTACTAAGGTTAATCTTATTTTCACTGATATTTTATTATGAACAAGTTAATTAACCCCCTTAGCAATGCTTGGCTAACCCTCATAAATTGGGTTAGTTTTCATCATACATTTGTACATTAAATATTTCTTATCAATTTTCCAGAATTCAAAATTATTCCAGTTTCAAATAATTCCTTGTTTATTACTATTTACCTTCCAGTTTACATTCTCTCATCACGGTTTTCCCCTCACACTTACGCTGTGCTGTGGCCAAAGTTCTAACGAGAGGTCTTGATGTTAAGGTCACTGTATACAGGAAAATATCAGCGAATTAGTGTACTGGATGACAATAATTCAATAGCAGTACATTTATGAAGATTTTTATGATATAAAGGATTTTCATTCGCAAGAAAGTTCAAGAACACTTGTTTTAGTAAAACTTAGCCATTAAAGTCAATGAAAGTATATAAAACATATTCAATCTTTTATCTAAATTTGAAAGTTCATATGACTTTAATTTATGTTCACTACAATGTATGATAATAAAAGGAAAAAGATAATTTTCAATAAAATAACCCAACTAAAATTTGATTATGTTTGGATATATATACACATGCATGTATGTATAAAAACATAATTGTACGTAAAGTTATTTTTTAATCAATATATATACAATTTATTAAGTTGTCATTGTTTTTCGCAATGAAAATCTAAAGTATAAGGCTTATGTTTTAGATAGATATCGTTTGATCTTTACAATAGATTTCGCAAAACTTAAATATTTATATATCAGGCAAGGACTGACAGAAAGCAAACTTTTGCTGGTCCTTCAAAAAAATTTGGTGGTCCTTCATTTTTGGCAAAATAACACCCTAATTTGTAATATTAAATATTATGGCTTGAATCATTAGACAATGAAATTAATATACATGTACAAAGAGAACCATTTTTTTAGACATACCAAATTTATACAGAAATAAAATCATGCTCTCACCGAGTCTGGTTCTGGTACATATGTATTATAATAATGTTAGCCATTTTAAATTGTCAATGAACAAAATGAATTGGCATTGGTTGAATGATCTGTCACGAATTTCGATTAAATAAGTTGAAAATATCCTCACAAAAACACTTTGGTCTGAGCCATTTTATGTGGTCGGTCAGGAAATCCTGAACACACGATTGTTTTTCGCCTTATCAATGTAAAGTCCTTCAACATATTGCAGCCATTTTCATTTCCATGTGCCTATGACGAACGTAACCCTAAACTCTGCCATTGAAATAACTTTAACTGGATCTAAAGCTATGATTTCTGACCACAATTACACAAGGTATTACAGGAAACCAGTGTCCAATGAATTGACAAACTACTAACGCGACAGAACGAACCACGTTTGACCTTTTTTCTCTGTCAGACAATTGGGCCGACTCAAAAGTGAAAGGTGATATTATGGCTGTCATGACTGACAGGTCAGACGGTTTTCGCGAAGTCTTCTACGATTCTAAAGAAAACAGAATATCTGTAAAGTTTTTTTTACCGCAAGGAAGAACGAAAGTGCACAGCTTGTGTTTGTAGATGGGGATCGTTTGATATCTACAAGAAATGCATTGTATTGTTCATGTTGTTATAAAATTCCAATTGATAAGCCATAACATGCAAGCCATATTGAGTAAACCTAAGTATCAAGAAATTTAATGGAAGGCCACAAACACTGTTGGGATAGGTTATTAAGGTCTGATAACTAACTTTATACGTGAAAATAAACAAGGCAGCTTTTGTCATTATGAGGTACCAATTAGTCTTGATACCAAAATGTCTTTAACATGTGCTGATTTGTCCTTGTGCCGATTTGACTTGATGCCGAGTTGTCTAGAATTCTTGAGGGTACAGTGCAATCCTTGTACAATCCCAATAATAATTAATGGAGATGTGTCACTGATTTATTTACAACACATCTATTCACAAACCGACACCAAAGCATTGCTAGGACACCCAGAAGTCTGTAATAGGCCCCTTCACGTTTAGTGCAGCCATGTTGAATAGGGGTCAGATTTTCATAATGGAGGTCAAAATGGTTTGAAAAATTCGGGAAAACATCATTAAAAAGAGGACAGTTACTTGGAAACATGCATAGGATTTCCCTTACTATCATACTATTTCCACCTCTATCCAAAAAACAGTGGCGGATCAGGGGGAGGGGGGGGGGGGGGTTCCGGGGTTGGAACCTCCCTTTTATTTTGACGATCAATGCATTTGAATGGGGACATATAGTTGGAACCCCCCCTTTATCCTGGGTTAGGAACCCCCCCTTTTATAAATGGATGGATCCGCCCCTGAAAAATCTGCCCCCTATTCAATATGGCCGAACTACGATGCAGTCTGGTAAATCAGCCACATAAGGCTTTGATCATATGTATTTCTGCTTAATTATATACAAATTGTATTAAATTCAATATAAATCGATTCACTGCCAAAACAATTTTGAAGAGTTTATCTCATTTCCCCAAAAAATAAATTTTAAAATCAACAAAACAAATGGGTCATCTGTGTTTTTATCAGAATCTGACGAGCAGAATTACCGGACACTACTGTAACTGTGAAGTGGCCTATTATGGTGGATGAAGCCAATGAATGCCAAAGTACTCGCGGAAAAACACAGGACATCTAGGCGGGAAAAAATACACAACATAGATCTGTCATATAGTGACCCCCTTCAACAAATTGAAGATAATGCCATATAATTTGTATGTTTATCCTTAAAAAAGATGTACATAACAAAGTCAATTCATAAAGATCTCCCCAACATTTTTTCCAGTAGTAGGCAGTACTCAGTAGAAAATGTATCAACTATCATGTTTGAGAACAGTAACAATGAATTATTCAATCTTGTTAATCTTATTTCTGTTTAGTAAGTAATGCTTACATAAAATTTGATACATATATGAAAATTTATAATAAATTAGAGGGACTGGATTTTTCGTTCATACGCCTCCATTTTGCTTGAGGTGAAGGGTCAAGCCCACGGTGTATAGTAGCCAGACCAAGCTCAAATTTTTATTCCGGGTCTTGAAAAATTGTAAGACCCTTAACGATTGGAGGAAAAAAATCCCTACAGCCAACCAGAAAGCAGCTATTATGGACAAATTCACTACCACGTCAACATGGTCGACAGCTGATCTGATGTAGCTGAAAAATTCAAATACAGTTTTCACCTTACATCTTAAGCGAAGGTGTTAAGGTTAAAAAAAAGACAGTTCAAATATGGTAGATCAAAAAAGTGTTGCTTTGCTTTCTTTTGACAATTTTCAATGACGCCTTTTAAACTTGTCTTTTATTGAAGTTATATTATATTATAATCTCTTAAAATAAATGTGTGTCAACATTGCTCAATTATCATTCCTTTAGTTTCACATGGCTTATACCACAATCATGACAATACAGAATGTAAAAGATGAATTTACTGTCGGGTTAACACAACATTCTCTGTACTACTGTAGAGCGAAACTGTTTTTGACATTGATAAAGCAGAGACATATAATACAAGAGATTCGCAACTCTAGTAGAGTCTATATAACAGCCAATGAAATGACGTGGCCACCGGAAAGCCGATTAATCCGATGGATTTATGGGTAAAAAACCGCTATTGTTGTGAAAAAGGTTCTATGCCTCACGACTTTTCTAATGGATAATGCCGATATCTTTCACAGCTAAAGCATGCAAGTATATTTAAAAGTTACAAAAAACTAATTATAATAATTTGTTATTGATAAAATGTGTTCTAATGATGATATCAAATACAAACAAAGTTAAAACTCTACCCATTTTACTTCACCTATTGCCGTAGAAACCATTTGATCTCCCAATTTTTTTCTTAAAACTTTGAAATATGCTAATAAATATATAATTTTATGGGGCAATAACAGTTATTTCTAAAAATATCAACAAAGCTGACTATTATTTTGTTATTAATACACAAAGCCAGCTATGCTAATTTTATCAATCTGTTTCGTCAAAACTAGAAATTTACAAATAAATATGTCATATTATAGGGATATATATTACTCCCATTTTTTTTTTTTTCTTTTTTTTTTTTTTTTTTTATTAAACTGGCTAAATATTGAAATTGTTCATGGACAAATTTCCTTAAATCAGTCCTTCATTTTTGTGCACTATGAAATTTATAGCCTGCATTTTGTTAGACAGTTTATTCAGATGATTTTTCATTCTGTTTATGGCAAAGTTGTTTATTTTCTCCTATTCTTAAGTCATTGTTTTTTTCTTCTTTTTTAGGGTGCCAAAGATATACGAATGCAGTAAATTTACAAAAGGAGTAAAATTTTCCTAGTAAAGGAAACCTTCTGCTGGTCGTAATATTATCGGAATGAGCTTCATGCATCTGTTGTCGTTTCAGACTACGCTTCTCATTCAAAACATGAACCTAATTCATTTTTAAGTTAAAATCGTATTGAGGACATTTCAATGGTGACTGCAAAAGATATATATATATATATATTTGATAATAAAAGATTTTATTTACACCAATGATTTGTATATGTATACACATAAACAATCTTACTTTTAAACTGCCATCTCTTTACCCCAGAATAAAAAGACAAAAACCACTACAAATGATTAAAAGACAAAAACCACTACAAATGATTGTTTCGAGGAAATAAGGTTTTAAAATACTTTTAAATAGTGTCTTCCATGTTGCTTTGATGTATGACCTCGGCTCCCACTTCAATGTTGTGTTTTTTATAGATTTTTTGTTGCTTCGAGGACACACATATCCATCTATGTATGAAGTATTGTCAATTGTTTTTGTTGGTGGGTCTCTCGCTTATGTTTTCGTCCTTTTCACTATCAACAAAGAGTTCGTTATCAGTTTATTCAACTAGGAGTATATCTAAGTCGTAACTATTAAGATTGTCATCCCACGAAATAAAATCGGAATTTTCCATATTGCGTGCACATGAATGAAGCTTTATTCAAATGAGAAATTAATTGTAATTTTCTTAAATATTAATTCTCAATACACACTTCGAACATGAAGAAACCATAAATTTACCGACAATCATTTAAAAAACAACTCAATATGCAAGCCTATGATGAAACTGTCAAACAACACTTAGAAATCAAATTAAACATTTACCGACAATCCTACAGAAAAAACTCGATGCAAGCCCAATAAATGATGAATATAAAAATAAATAAAATTTTAATTATTTATAAATATCAAGAATAAAAAACAAAGCATATCATGATTAACAATTAATTAACAAATAAATTAAGTTTTTTTCCACATTAATTAATTTTACATTTTGTGAATTGTATTTTTGGAAAGAGCGTGGACACCTGTGGTGTAACAACTTCTTGTTTACAAGGTGTCAATTAAAACTCATTATTTATAACATGTTCGTGATTTACCTGGTCATCGAATAATTCAAACCTAATATACATGTCACACTGTGAAATTATGTCTCCGAGACAGGTGTATATTCAATAGAAACCCATTATGTAACTATCAAATGAAATGAACTCTGACACAATTTATCAAGTGTTAATTATTTAATATCAGTTTTTTTTAATACAATATCAAATTATGTCTCTTTTTTAATAATAAAAATCTAAAATCAAAATTACATTAAAATAAATAATTATATATGTACTCAAATTATTTTATTAATTATGATAAATTTAACACTGAAACAGTTTATGTTATGCTTAAACATTCGTCCTTACTTCAAGTACTTTTAATACTTTTATTAATGACTTTATTACCTAAGGAAATCTCGCGAGGTTTAACTAGTGGCCGCGTGTTATTACGGGATTTCGCCGAGTTGCGAATCTCTTGTATTATATGTCTCTGGATAAAGTAAACAATTACTGAATTATTTTTTTGTTTGTTTCATGTTGATTTTTCTTATTATTAACAGAGATATACAATGTACAATCAAAGAAACAATCAAAAAATATATATTACACTTGTCCTGTGACTTTCTGTCCAACAATTTGTTTTTTTGTTGCAAGAATTCTTTTCTTCTGTAAAATTTATTTTCATTGAGGAAAAAGTTAAACTTATAAGCTAGCCCCCACCCCCTTTTATTTAATAAAACCTTATTATTTAAATACAATACAAGTTTAAAGAGTTATGTTAATTTATTTCACATGAGAGTCTGGAGTTCATGATTTGTCATTTGTTTACAATGTATTTGGAGAGGTTTTCTCTTGTGCGTAAAAGATATGTCCATATTCTATATTCTTAATAACATGGTGTATCCATCCCAGACTCCAGATGGTTATAAATGGCAGCTACGCTGGGGAAACTTTTTAGTGGCATTTTAAAGAAATGAAAACATGAACATAATAAAATAATTGTGTGTCCATAATGGCAGTTCAGAAATTTTTTAGAGGAGGGACGACAGCCCAGGTGCTGTGTGCAAAAACTTATCAGGTTATGTACATGTGGTTCGATATCAGCTTCCGTGGCAATTTTAAATATGGTAAAAGATCGATTTGTTCATGTTTTAATTTCAAATATATTCTAATGCAATCATGGAAAATATAACAAGTTTTAACATGGAAAGATTTATTGATGATTGAAAATCACTTTTACTGAAATTTTTTTTTTACTTTTTGGTAAATTGTTTCTTTTAAGATTATGTTCCGTATTAATGGCAGGAATTTTTATTTGAGGTCTGTAAAAAATACATTGCACAAATTTTTGTTAATATTTCTTTAGTTCGCAAGTAAAAAACATTGCAATTTATAACAGTTAAAGAATATTGTTCAAACAGCATAAAGCATAAAAGGTCTCTTTAAGTCTCCATCCGTTGCTGCATAGTAAGACGCCAAAAAAAGACAGTTTTCGAATAAATGTCCAAATATAGTTGTCAAATCCGTAAATAAATACGTAAACTTTTAGCCACAAATACAGTACTACCTGTGACATTATCTTACTAATGGTGGCCATAAAAAATATGGTCACCATGATGGCCCTAAATGTCCATCATTGTACCTCCTGTTGCTTAATTAATACACAAGGTATTAATCAAAAACTAGTCAAGGATAAAGGGAAATCATGACTGCATTGAAGTGTTAAAATTATATAACTTACAGGTAAAGTGTCTCAGGTAAAATATATGTGTTTGTCAAATTTAATAACTTTGATTATGACAAGAAAATTCTAAAATAAAATGAAATAATAAAACTAGTTGAACATATACATGATTATATAGCTTCCTAACTTTTTTTGTAAAATTTTTCTCATGACTGTTTGTTTTGAAATTATACCATGTATACCTTTTAAATAATTCTCTCAATTTAAGTTATTTGTTACATGTATTTTTTGGCAAGTGAATAATAAATGAATATCATCTTCTAATATAATGCAAACTTTCACATCGCCTGCCTTTTTCTATTGAAAAGGTGTTTCTCAAATTAATTTTCTAAAATCAAAATTGTTTATACTTACTGCATTCAACATTGTTTAACAAATGTTTAAGATTATCTTTAGGACTTATTCTAAATAAAATTTGGGCAATTCATTATTTCTCAATTGAACAAATACATGTATATATTCAAAATATTCATTACAGAAAAATTTGATAATATTTTTATTGTCATATAAACATTTTACAATTTAATCAAGTTTCTGACAAAAAAAAACAAAAACAAACATTATAATGCAAAGAAATAACAATTCTATAAGAAATCAAAACACATGGAAAAAAATTATTAGGTTTCTGCCCTCAGTTCTAATGACTTTTTTTTTTATAAAGGAGCCAATATTTTAAACATGTTCCATGTTATAGAGGTTTAGCATTTCTTTTACTTTTTGTTCTTGGTTAAAATTTCATTCATAAGATTCAAGATTTTATTCATAAACTGGTCAGAGACATTATAATGAGAAGGTAAACAATTTTATAATTGATTATCTCTAAGTTGTTGTGTTTATTTTACAAACAATTCTATCCTTTATAGGAATTTTTACCCACCATCTTCTATTTCTA